TCTAACTTAAAGATCGGCACGCCCTGGCGGAGCACGCTGTGCCAGTCGGGGAGGTCCGGGGCCGGGCCAAAGCGACGACGAAAGAGATCGTCGAGGCGGCGGAAACAGCGGGCGGTCGGTTGCGGGTCGCGGCACAGAGTGCCGCGGAGAGGCCCGGTCTAAAGCTGGTACTGGCAGGTCACAGCACCGGAGCCGCCGGTAGACGCCAAGCTGCGCGGGCCACGACCACGGCCACTACCTCCGGAGGTGCCGGGCCAGCCAGCCGGGAGACGGGCCCACTGCTGCGGCGACTGCTGCTGGGACGGCGGCTGCTGCTGGGGCGGCGACTGCTGCTGGGGCTGCTCCTGCTGCGGCTTGGGCTGCTGCTCCTGCCCACCGGTGGTAGCCCCCGCAGGCGGACTACCGTAATTACCACCACCACCACCACTACCTGCACCACCGCCCCTACCTCCCTGACGACCACGGCCACCACGGCGCGAGCGCTGCTGCGGGTGGACCGCAGCAGCCGTCTCGGTGAGAGGGGTCGCCGTGGTGACCGCAGCCAAAACGTCAGTGAACGTGCACTGGGAGGGGGCACAACCGTGAAAGATAGAGACTGCCGGCGCACCGCTCGACTGAGCGATAGTGCGTTGGCGAGTCTCGATCTCGGTGAGGGTATCGACAAAGGCGGTGAGGGTGAGATCACCCGGGTGCTGGCTAAGGAAGTGATCGCGAGCACTAGCGAGGCGGTCTGGCAGGCGCATGGCGATAAAATAGAGCGTCTTGCAGAAAGGGGGGGGGAGAGCAGTGAGCTGGGCAGCAGTGCTGGCAGTGCGATAGCGGGTCTCTAGGGCATGCAGGTGAGTGGCAAAGTCTGCGATGGCAGGGAAGGCTGCAAGGTCTGGGAAAAGCATAGGGAAGAGCAGGCGGCCAGCAGAAGCAGACGCGGGTGTGGAATAGCGAGCAATAACGGCGTCTAAGTAAGCTTTGGCCGTCTCAATAATAGCAAAGCGCGAGCGCTCAGACACAGGGAGGGCGTGGCTAATAGCAACCTGAGCGACTGCATCGCGAGAGTCCCAGACCGCACGGGCAAGCGCAGCAGTAGAGAAGGTCTCACAATCATCAGAGGAGGGGTCAGCAGGGAGGGGAGCAGGTGCGGGGGGGCGGGGGAGTAAGCCATCGACATGGACAACCAAAGAGTGGCCATCCTGGCGCTGACCTGTAGGGTGGCGACGGAGATCGGAGAGCCAGGCGGCGAAGTCAACCGCATGACCCTCCGCGTCCAGGCAGAGCACGAAGTCGGTTATCGTGCAGGGTTAGCAGCACAGCTCCACAGCTCCGCAGGAACACAGCGACGCAGGGACACAACGGCGGCACTCTCCAGCACGGCAGCCGCGAGACGCCCCGGCGCTAGCGAGCAGAGGAGACGGAGCCAGAGGTGGCACGACAGGCCGAGCAGGCACGAAGAGGGGCCAGGCAAGTAGCGGGAGAGGCCAGAGAGACGCGGCGGGGCCAGGCAGGCGCTGCGGGGCGTGGCAGGCTCGGCGGGGCCAGGGAGGCGTGGCGGGGCCAGGGAGGCGCGGCAGGGCCAGGCTGGCGCGGCAGGTGTCAGGGAGGCGCGGCGGGGCCAAGGAGGCACGGCGGGGCCAGGCGAGCGCGATGGGGCCAGGCAGGCGCGGCAGGGCTAGGGAGGCGCGGCGGGGCCAGGGAGGCGCGGCGGGGCCTAGCAGGCGCGGCGGGGCCTGGCAGGCGCGGCAAGGGCCAGGCAGGCGCGGCGGGGCCAGGAAGGCGCGGGGGGGCCAGGCAGGCGCGACGGGGCCAGGCGTGCGCGACGGGGCCAAGCGGGCGCGGTGGGGCCAGGCAGGGCGCGGCGGGGCCAGGCAGGCGCGACGGGGCCAAGCGGGCGCGGCGGGGCCAGGCAGGGCGCGACGGGGCCAAGCAGGCGCGGCGGGGCCAGGCAGGGCGCGACGGAGCCTAGCAGGCGCGACGGGGCCCAGGAGGGGCGTGACGGGGCGAGGAGGCGCGACGGGGCCCAGGAGGGGTGCGACGGGGCTAGGGGGCGCGACGCGGCCCAGGAGGGGCGCGACGGGGCTAGGGGGGCGCGACGGGGCCCAGGAGGGGCGCGACGGGGCTTGGAGGCGCGACGGGGCCCATGAGGGGCGCGACGAGGCTAGGAGGCGCAACGGGGCCCAGGAGGGGCGCGACGGGGCTAGGAGGCACGGCAGGGCCCAGGAGGGGCGCGACGGGGCTAGGAGGGGCGACGGGGCCCAGGAGGGGCGCGGCGGGGCTAGGAGGCGTGGCAGGGCCCAGGAGGGGCGCGACGGGGCTAGGAGGCGCGACGGGGCCCAGGTGGAAGCGGCGGGGCCTAGCTAGGGTACGGGCGGAAGCGGTAGGTGGGGGATCCTAACCTACGCGTGATACGATGTTAAAGTAAGAACTGAATGATGAACTAGAAGAAGAAGCCTAGAACAAATACTAGTTGGTTGTACTCATTAGAAGCATACCTCAGTCTAGACTATATGTATAGGTTGACATATTGGTCATTTGAGGGTGGGTGCTTTTTGTGTGAGCAGTAATTGCGAAGCGAATAAAAAGTTGAGATAGCATGTGGTGTTGGAGTTCCTAACAACCGGAAAAAAAAAAACCCATCAGGCAAATCGAATGGACGAATGGAGTGGGGCAGAACCGCTGTTCATACTTCACACATCCCCTTCACACAATCAAAGCCCTTATTCAAGCTTCTAGTATGTGTTCTCACAGCACCCTAAATGTGAACTCCCATAAAGAAAATTTGAAGGGATGAGTAAATGGCGGAAGAGGTCATTTCTCTATTTTCATATTTCCGCTGCAAGTGTTAGACCCAAGGGTTTAGCAGGAAGATCCGAGGCTGGAAGAAAATTGCCTCGGGTCTTGCGAAAACCTGACAGTCAGCTGACAAACCGAACAGCTGACAAAGTCACGCAAATATACTTCAACCAATCATAACATCGTAAATTTCTGGAGGGCTCGAAAAGTTAGGCCAGTATAGTCGCAACCCTCCCCTTGTGACTGTTCGCGACTATGCAACCGGTGCACCTCCAAGAAAATTAAACCCGCAGTTAGGTTGTGACAACCTAACTGCGGGTCAGCCTTGGGTCTGACACTCGCTGTGGAATTAACCGTACTTGGTTATCATACAAGTTGAAGCCTGACTAAAACCTTGACTAGAACCTCGACTATGGGCTAGGAATTACATGCGTGGTGGCACTATTATGCACTGGTCAAACAATGTGCCACTTGAAAGTCAATGGGGAAGCACCTGGTTTGGTACCCAGACCTATTTGACGATCTCCGCGAGATACTTTCGACCGAGTTACCCTCTGTCGCCACTTGGACATCGCTTTCCCCTCCCCCCCAAAACCAACTACTGTATGTTCACCTAGATGAAAACGGAACCAGAGGCGATTCTCGGTGTTCCCAAGCACGCACTCCGCGCCACGTCACCCCACTGCCCAAGCAAACTCTGTTCACCAAGATGCCCCAGTTCGGGAATCACCACGGGGACTCACATTATGCCGGAGGCCGTACTCGGTTTGGCTCACTGACGACCAATCACATCCTTGTTTTTCTGCCCGAAACAAGTTTAGGGTTGATGCCTCCCGAATGACAACCAGGTTCCCCCTGGGGTTTATATTTTGTTGCTTGCCCAAAATCGAATGTTACACGAGTAAGCCAAAAATATTTTCGCCTCTGGCATAATGTGAGTACGGTTGATCTTGCCCCGCCCCAGTTCCTCACAAAAATGGAAGTGGCGTTCTTTATCGGCCTGCCCCTCCTACCATCAGGAACATCATCCGAGCAGCCTCGGAACATTCTGGGTTCCGTACGTAATTGAAGTAACGAGGCTGCAGTAAAATGCGTATCATTCTAGTAACCTGGCAAGGGAGGTCTTGTGGAAAGGTATCTTGAATAGATTTCTGTATGGGGTGTGTGAAGTTCTTGGCACTTCACTATACTCCAACACAGGGAAAACTTCGTGAATTGGGTGAGTCATGTTCTCCGCAACATAGAACCATAGACCCATAGACTCAAATATTCTTCTAAAAAATATCACACATAAAGGAAGCAATTTATATGCACATACAATTGGCATCTTATCAAAGGAAGGGACTAGATGCAATCAGTGCGTATCATAAGAGTTCGTGTAAGTGTAATTTGGTAAGCTTAATCTTATTTCAGAGTGGTTTGCTGTTGTTTTTGGAGAGGTTGGGCAGGGCTTTTAGTGAAATCTAACTCATTCTGCATGACTTGCCCTCAGGTTGACTCTTATAAGGAAGCGTTGACAAATTCTAGGTTGCAGATGAGACTGCAACCGAAATTGAACCCGAGCTCTAAAACTCGTCCGCGAGATGAAATGCGCTTTGAAAATGCCTTGGTATGGTTTGCCATTTTTCCCCTTTCTTGCCACATCCCGAGCGCAAGCCCCTTCCGCAGGCCCAAACCAGACCAGACGCGCACACCCCGTTCACATACGGTGATTGGGGAGGAACTGGGCGAACATCCCCCTAACCATCATCACAGCGACCACTCTTGCGCCCCATCACCCCCACCCCGCTGGTCGGGGGATGGCAGCCGAACGCGGAAAACCCCCGAGCGCCCGCGCCTCCCGTCCACCCCCCCAGTCCGCGCGGGAGGGGGGGCTCTTTTTGTGGCAGGCAGCCCAGGAGGAGGGGAGGCACAGTGCTGCGCTTGTGCCTGCTGGTTGGGTGGTGGCAGCGTGGCACTCACGACGAGCGGCAAAGCGGCATTTCTCGCCTTCCTCAACCGACCGACCATTTCTGCTCTGCTCGGCTCTGCAGGACTCTCCCGGACTCCCTCCTAACCCCCTAGCCTGGTTTGGTTCCGTTCGGTTAGGTTTGGTTTCCCTGTACAGTACCATCTCCTGCGCAGGGCCCCTGTCCCTTTCCTCCTGGAGCAGATGGTGGTTGTGGAGCGGATGCGTCTGGATGACTGACATCTCGTTTGCGTATCCCCCATCTCGTCGTCTCCTCGGCCATTTACATATTAGCGCTCTTCATAAAGTTTCCTCTTGTCGCTCTTAGTTGGCTTCTTGTTACAGAGCGATGCCTCTATTTATGGGGGGCTTTTAGGGCAATGCTACTAGCTAGGGTTAGCCGCCTCGGTCAATACTATTTATTTCGTTTACGAGAATCCTATCCATCTTCTCCCCAGATGAGTAGTAGAAGCGCGTGCACAGCGCAGCTTAAAGCGCACTCACAGCCAACTTAAAGCCGAGCTCCGCTAACCCGTCCGCGCTGCCGCTGCTGCCGTCGCGTCGCCCCGTATGACGCGGGACAGCGGTCTTAGCAGCGCCAGCAGGCCGGGGCTCGGCGGTAGCGGTAGCAACGTCGTCATGCCCCCCCCGTGGACGACTATGGAGTTCGGTGCGCCCGGTTCTCTCCTCTACCGCCTCCTATTCCTCGACAAGCAATACCGCGCCTTTTCCCCCTGGCACGAGATTCCCCTCCACGCCGCGCTCCCCCCTTCCGCCTGCCCTTCCCCTCCGCCCGCGCACGGGGAGCCGGGCCTTTCCGCGCTGTCCTTCTTCTGCGTTACCCCGCGGGGAACGTGGGCAAAGTTCGAAATCGCCCAGGATGAAAACTTCACGCCGGTTCGAGTGGCGGAGCGGGAGCCAGGCGGGGCCCCCGCGCGATACGCGGAGAATTGCCAGTGGAACCTAGGCGTGCTTCCGCAGACATGGGGCGACCCGAAGGCTAAGAACGAAGAGTACGGAGGGCTCCCGTACGACGGAAAGCCCGTGCAAGTCTTCGACGTGAGCGGCTCGCGCGGCGCCGCGAGAATCGGGGACGTGTACGTCGTGAAGCCGCTCGCCGCGTTTGCCGCCGTGAGTCGCGCGCCCGCGGTTTCGTGGAAGGTGGTGGCCGTGGCCGTCGACGACCCGCTGGCGCTGGAGCTGCATGACGTGGCGGACGTGCATCGGAAGCTTCCGGGAACGCTCGAGGAAATTCGCGAGTGGCTGCGACTATCGGATTGCACGGAGCCAGGTGAGATACTAAGTTAACGACGAACTGAACGGTGGAGATTAAAGGGGTATGGTGGGATTTTGAGCGGCTATAGCACCCGATGCAGCTCACCCGATCTTAGCCCAACCTGTACGGGCGGTGCGGTTTCGATACGGATAACGGCTCTGGTGGCAGTCCAACGGGGCACATTTGCCGGTCTTTACCGGTAACGCTAGCCGGCTAGGCGTCAATCTCGACTCCAGTTAAGATGCCGCGTTTCGCGATGGTCGGACTGATGAGTCGACGAGACATCGTTGCCTGGAGCTAGCCGCTGTGCTGCCGACGACGATAAACCATAAGCGCGTGCAAACCTTGCTGGTCCGACCTTTCCCTTAACTGGCACGCGTGTCCCGATGCCCCCTCCACCATGTCCCCTTCCCGTCGCCGTTGTCGTTTTGCCGACGTTTGCTCCCATTTCTCTTCCCCGGCCCTCTTTCCTCCGCCGTTTCGCCATCCGTCTTGGTACGAGCAGCGCTTTAAGTAGTCTTCGAGTCATTCACAGCGCTGTCCGTCCAGCGCACTATTGCTGTTAGCTATAGCCGCATTGGTTTTCCTTTCTCCCCCGTGGCCTCTAACCTGCGGCCTTAGTAACGCGCAGCCCGGAATAGTATCGCGCGGCCGTAGTTAATATCGCCCAGCCTTCCAGACCCACACCATTACTGACTGGCTTTAGAAACGCCCAGTATCAATAGCCCAGCATTTCAAATGGCTAGTATTATTAACCAGCCTTCGTAACGGCCAGGATTAGGTACGGAGGGTACAGTGTGCGCATCCCTCGTCCGTCCCGCGTAGGCTCTAATAGGCCCTCCTAGGCCCTCTTAGACCCTCCTAGGCCCTCCTAGGCTCTTTTAGACCCTCCTAGGCCCTACTAGGCCCTTCTAGGCCTCCTAACGCCGTCAGCCGGCCTAATGTACATGACGCGCCCCCCTAGAGTCGATTAACGAGCACCTTGCATCCACAGCAGCACGCGCTGACTTTTGAGTCGACTCAAAAGACAGCCGCACGCGCTGGTCCACACAACCCCCACGGTATGTCGCGGCTCCCTGCGCGTCAACACGAACGCTACGGACCCCCGAGTTTCGACATCTAGTTTCGACATCCGGACGGGTTTACTCACCTTTTTTCTTGAGGCGCTTAAAAAACCGTGTCTCCTTTACGTGTCCTGATGCTCCATTCGTCTTGGTCTTTCGGTCGCCCCCGTCACTCGTTCCCTCCATTTCCCACGTTTTTCTTTCTTTCTTTCTCTCTTTCTTTCTATTATCCCGTACCCCCCTGGTTACCCTATCCGTGTAACCTCCTCTGAGCTCTCGTGCCCGCCTTGGTTAAGATTAGCGCGTGACCAGGAAGGCACTCCTCGTGTGGCGCCACGCCTGTCTCGACTAGGTGCTTTCGTTCCGGCCAGTCTCAGCGTGGAAGTCGGTCCGTCGCCTGCGCGCTCCGCGTGTGCGTCGGCTTTTGAGTCGACTCAAAAGCCACCTCGGCGCGTGCGTGTGTTTAGTATGCGTGTGTACCGCGTGCGTGCGTCGGGGGTCTGTCAGTCATCGTGTCCGAAACGTCTCCAAATCGCACGCGGGTTCCATCCGATCCGAGTAACTCCGCCAGTCTGTTCGATAACTCCCCACTCGATAGAAGTCTAGTTTTGAGGCGCCTCAAAACTTAACTCCGCCAGTCTGCTCGATAACTCCCCACTCCCCGCGCGCGTTCAGTCGGCTCGTACGCTACTGCCGAGCAAATTCGTGTCGCTTTCGCGACGCGCGATTTCGTTTTATGGAAAGCGGCTCGGCAGCTCCTTTTCTTCCTACCCATCCCCCTTGCCTCCCTTTTCTCCTCCTCCCCCTTTGCCGACTCAAGCGGTGCCAGAGGACATGGGAACCCGACGGAACGTTCGCTGAAGGCGAAAATAAATAACGGAAAAAAAAACTACGGATAGTAAGACGTGGTTAATCAGCAAGTACGCTAACACCCAATGTGCGCTGCGTGGCGGTGCGGCGCACGCTAGCACGCAGACATGTATCAATTCGCGGCGCCGCTCGTGCCGTGACTCTCTCTCTCTTGTGCGCCTCCCACCCCCCGTTACATGCCATGCTTCTGCCTTGGCGCCGCGTCTTGCTCACGTCATCACCTACATTCCGCCTCCCCCCCTCCCCTCCCCTCCGACACCCCACCCCTTCCCCCCCGCCCTCCTCCTCTCTAACTATCCGCTCCGCTTCGAAGCTCGCGTGCTCATTTCCGCAATCGTTTCTTTGCTCTTTGCTCTTTGCTCGCTTTCTGACGCGCCTCAGAAATCGCCTCCTCCCCCACTTCAACGCCGCGACCCCTTTTTTCCTCCCCTTTTCTAGCGCGCTTGATAGGGGTCTAGCTTTGAGGCGCCTCAAAACTAGACACCCTTTTTTTCTCCCCTTTTCTAGCGCGCTGGAAAAGGGGAGAAAAAAAGGGGCCGCGGCGTAACCCCGCTGGACGCTGTTCTTAAAGCGTACTACTGTGCAACGCGCAGCTGCCTTTTCATTATCCAATGACTAATAGGAGCTGCGTACGTGGCAGACTGGGAACGCGTGCCTTTAAATATGAATATATATGTAAATATATTTGGGCTATAAGCTAGGCATGCACACAGTATTGGCTGGCTCTTTGTGTTCTTCTCCCCTCGCGTCCACGCTTCCCCGTTTCCCGCTGTTTCCCCCTGCTCTCCTCTCCCCCCGCTCCCCCTCTACTTCTCTTCCAGCTGCGCACTTTGACTCACCCTGCCCCCTCCCCGACCCACCCCCCCCCAACCTCCCACCTCCTTCCCCCTTCCGCCCCCCCCGCCACCCCGCGGTTCCCCTTGCCTCCGCTCCCCTCACGCCGCCGCCCCTCTAGGCTCCGAAGGCCTCGCGTTCGGCTTCAACGAGCGCGCGTTGGACCGCCGGCGCGTGCAGGCGCTGCTGAAGGAGTGCCACGTGGCATGGCAGCGCATGCACGCCACGCTCCCCATGCCCGAGCCCTGGATCCCGCGCTCCCGCCCGCCCAAAATCTCCACTATCGAAGCCTTCTGGGTGCCTTATACCGAGCGCCATAGCAACTCCGGTAAAGGCACCCTCACTATACCGCTCTCGGACCCCAACCCTAGGAGCTATGGGGGGAGCAGTAGCGGCGGGGGCGGAAGGGGAGGGGGAGGGGGGGATGAGGAAGGGGAAGGCGGGGGGAGAGAGGGCGGGGGCGCGGGCGCGGGCGCCGACGCGGGGGGAGAATCGGTATGGGAGGTGTTGTCTAGCACTGAGACGGTGCAGATGCTGTCGCAGCTGCGGTCAAGGAAGCACCTGTCGCGCCCTGCGTTCTATCTCATGAAAGGGTCTATTCCAGGAGGCCCGGGCGTCGCCCTGGGGGGGGTTAGCGGCAGAGGGACGGGACGGGCGGGCGCAGGGGGTAGCGCGGGATCTAAAGGGAGAAGGGGCAGTGCCACGGGGGTTGCGGGAGCAGGCGCGCCAGCAGCGGTAGGCGCAGCAGCAGCAGGAGCGGCAGCAGGCGCGGGAGGGGGAGGAGGGACAGGCGGAGGGGGAGAGGAGGAGGGGCACGGGAAGTCCAAGTTCCGGTGGGGGAAAGCGGCCAAGGACGTGAAGGCATGTGCCGTGCCTGCTGTCTCAACAGGCTCGCCTAGAACCTCCTGGACCCCTGCCTCCGACGCAGCAGCAGGAGCAGCAGCAGCAGTAGGAGGAGGAGGCATGGGAAGGGCGAGTGTGGGCCAGTCCCCTGCTGCGGCCCAGCCTAGGGCTCCCATGGACGAGCCGTCTCCTGTCTCGGTTTCTGCTTCTTCCCCTCCTGCTACCCCTTCTCCTGTTTCCATTCCTGCTCCTGCCCTTGTTTCCACCCCCCCTCCGCTTGCTGTCTCTTCCGCCCCTCCTGTCCCTGTCCCTGTCCCCGCCCCTGTCCCTTCCCCTGCCGCTGTCCCTGCCCCTGCCCCTGCCCTTGCCCCTGCCGCTCCTGCTGCTGCGTCGCCGTCCATAGAGCCATCCGTTCCTGCCTCTTTGTCCGCTGCCAATGCAGCGTCCGTTCCCACTCGTTCCACCTCCACTACTGCAGCAGCAGCAGCCGCAGCACCAGCAACACCAGCAGCAGCAGCAGCAGCAGCGCCAGCAGCACCTGCACCTGCACGCGCCGCAGTGCTGGCAGCAGCAGCAGCGGCTGCAGCAGCCATGGGCGCTGGAACCATAGTGGTGGGTGGACCGGTGGCCGGCACTGCCAGGGGGGGAGCAGCAGCAGTAGGGGGAGCAACAGGAGGAGCAGCAGAAGGAGCAGCCTCGATCCTTGGAGACCCCATGCATCCTTCTGCAGGCATTCCTGGCACTAGTGAAACGGCAACGGCTGCTGCTGCTGCTGCTGCTGCTGCTTCTTCCGCTGCATCTGGTGCCACAGACGCGGGTGCAGCGGCCACTAGGGCAGGGGGGGGAGGAGCGGGGGGAGGAAAAGGCGGTTTAGTAGCAGCGGGCGTGTCAGCAGCGTCGGCGCGGAGGAGAGCGGCACTGGTGAAGGAGAAGGCGAGGCTTGATGAGCTGCAGCAGCAGGGCGGCGCAGAGGGAGACGCAGGAGCACACGCTGCGCCTGCTGCTGGCACCAGCAGTACTGGGATTGATGCGGCAGTGGCAGGAGCAGGAGCAGTGGCAGGAGCAGGAGACGGACCAGCAGAAGCAGCAGCAGAAGCAGCAGCAGAAGCAGCAGCAGCAGTGGGAGGAGCAGGAGAGGTGGTGACAGGTGGGGCAACTCCTGTGGTGCAGGTGTTGGGTGATGATGTGAGAGCTGGTGAGATGGCCACTGCTGCGACAACGGCAACAGCAGTGGCAGGAGCAGCGGCAGACAGCATCGCCATAGCAACCACTAGCACTACTGCGGGGTCTTTTGCCACCTCTGCTACCGGGGCTGCTGCTGCTGCCGCTGATGCGGGCACGGGCGCAGGCGCAGGGAGCATGCGGAAAAGTATGTCTGTGCGGAAGGGCAAGGGGAGGGGGGCGGATGTGGGCGCGGGGAAGACGAAGGGTGCGCAGGAGCAGGGGAAGCAGGGGAAAGAGAAGGGGAAGGGGATAGGGGCAGAGCAGCAGGCAGCAGGGGGTGTGCATGCGAGTGTACATGCGAACGGGCAGGATATGGGTGTGGCATCAGGTGATGTTGACGCTGCTGCTGTTGCTGCTGCTGCTGTGGCTGGCTCAGCTGCAGTGGGCGTTCCTGTGGCTGTGGCTGCTGTGGCAGCTGTGGCTGAGGCTCCTGTTTCCGAAGCAAAGGCGAAGGAGGGCGGTAAGGGGAAGCGTGTTCTCTCTGCTCGGAAGCCAAAGGCGCGGCAGGAGAAGGTGAAGAAGGAGCAGATAACTGTGGAATCAGCAACTCAACAGCCGCAGCAGCAGCAGCAGCAGGTGGCCGAGGAGCCGGAGGCAGTAGCGGGTGCAGGAGCGGTGGTGGCACCTGGTGGGGAGGCCGGACAGAGAGACAGAGCGGTTGAGGGCGGTGATGGTGGTATGGGTGCGCTGTCTTGGGGCAACGGGGAAGGAGAGAGTGCTCCCGATGCAGGGGACGAGGGGGATGAGCAGCCAGGGGTAGGGGAGATCCAGGAGCCTCCGCAGCAGCAGCAGCAGCACTCAAAACGGTTCAGCCTGTCCCCTCTGAAAGTGAATGAGTGTGTGCTTGATGCTGACAACAGCACAACCCCGCAACAGCCACAGCTGCAGCCGCAGCAGCAGCAGCAGCAGCAGCTGCAACACGTGTATGTGCCTCCCCTCACGCCCCAGCCCCTCACGCCTCTCCCTCTCTCCACCGCACCCTCGCTCATCTCCCCGCAGCGGCAGCAGCAGGAGCAGCGGTGGCAGGCGGTGGAGGATCAGCCTCCTGAGAGAGTGATCATTCAAGAGCACCGGCTGGTGCTCGGGCTGGGAGCGATGGAGGAGGAAGAAGAGGGAGAGGAGGAGGCGGAGGAGGGGGAGGAGGGGGAGGAGGGGGAGGGGGAAGCGGAGGGGGAGCAGGAGCAGGTAGGTGCTGTGCCGGGGGAAGCAGATTGGGGGCGGCGGATGGGGGGAAGTGCGAGGGGCGAGGCAGCTGAGGAGTCGGCCAAGGGAACGAGCGAGGAAGCAGGGGGGAAAGAGGTGGAGAGGGAGGGAGAGGCAGTAGAAGGAAGGGCGGGAGAGGGGGAAAGCGAGGGAGAGGAGAAGGGGGAGTCAGCTCAAGTGTCATCGGCAATATGGGAAGGTTCTAACACAGGGAGAGGAGGAAGCGGAGGATTAAGTGGGTCGTTGCCGTCCCCTAGGGCACTGGATCTCTTGGCTGGGCTTAAGAAGCTGGTGAGCCCTCGCCAGAGCCAGTCCGCCAGGCGGGGGAGAGGGTTCGGACGATCGAGTAGCTCTGGAGGGGGCGAGACAGACGGTGCTGCTTCTCCCGCGGCCACTGCTGCTGCTGCTTCGTCTCCCGCTGCTGGTGCTGGTGCTGGTGCTGCCGCTGCTCCTGCTGCGGCAGCGGCAGGGGTGGAAGCAGGGGTGTATTCAGCTGCAGGGGACAGGGGTGGGGAGGTGGTGGGGGCAGAAGGAGGGTTGCAGCAAGTGCGGGAGGGTTTGGAGGAGGAAGAGGAGGGCGAGGAGGAGGGAGAGGAGGGAGGGGAAGAAGGGATACTGGTGGGGCGGGGAGTGTTACTCATGGGCCGTCGATCAAAGCAGCAGCAGCAGGAGCAGCAGCAGCAGGGTCTTTATAATGTAGGAGGTGTGTTGAGAGAGGTGGGGGAGGAGGAAGAGCAGGCAGGGGGGGATGAAGGAGACGAAGAGAGGGACGAGCTAGAGACCAGGCGAGAGGAAGAGGGGGGAGAGGAAGAAGAGGGAGAGGAAGAAGAAGGAGAGGAAGAAGAGGGAGAGGAAGAGGGGGGGAGGAGTGAAGTAGAGGAAGAGGAGGAAGAGGAGGGGGGTCTGGTAAGTGGTGGCGGTGTAGTGGCAAAGGGAGCGGATGCGGAGGAGAGAGAAGAGACAGAGGGGATTGGTGGAGAGTGGGAGCAAGGGGGGGAAGTGGACGAGACGGAGGTAGAGGAGGAGGAAGAGGCGGGAGAAGAAGTGGAGGGAGAAGGAGTGGAGGGAAAAGAGGAAGACTTGTATTCGGATAGAGGCGATAGTGAGGGGGGAGATAAGGGGGGTAGTGGGAGGATGAGTGGACGGAGAGAGAAGGAAGCAGAGAGTTGGAGAGAAGAGGCGATTGAAGAGGGGGAGGAGGATGGGGAGGAGGGAGAGGAGGGAGAGGAGGGGGGAGAGGAAGAGGGAGAGGAGGTGGTGCTGAGGGAGGAAATAAGAGAGAGGGGTAAGTTTAGAGAGAGAGTGAGTGAGGAGGAAAGGAGGGGGGTGGAGTTGGGAAGGGAGAGGGAGAGAGAGAGGGAGAGGGAGAGGGTAAGGGAGAGGGAGAGGGAAAGAAGCGACCGAACGCTACATGAGAATGAGGGTAGGGAAAGGGGCTATGAGGACGAGAGAGAGAGGGAGAGGGAGAGGGAGAGGGAGAGGGAGAGGGAGAGGGAGAGGGAGAGGGAGAGGGAGAGGGAGCGAGAGAGGGAGAGGGAGAGGGAGCGAGAGGCGGACCGTGGGAGGTTGAGCAGGAGGGAAGAGGATAGAGAGAGGGATAGTGATCGAGAGAGTGACGGCGAGCGGGAGAGGGGCCGAGAATACGGAACGAGGGAGTATGGGGAGAGAGATTCTAGGGAGCGGGAGACGCGAGCGCAAGAGATGAGGGAGCGAGAGGCGAGAGAGCGAGAGATGCGAGGAAGGGGGTTCCGAGAGGAGTGGAAGAGCGAGACTGAGAGAGAGCTGGCACGGTCTCGGGAGAGGGACAGGGAGGGTCTGGGCGATAGAGAAAGGGAGAGAGAGCGAGAGAGGGGCCGGGATCTGGATATGGAGAGGGAAAGGGAGAGGGAGAGGGAGAGGGAGAGGGAGAGGGAGAGGGAGAGGGAGAGGGGCGGGGACAGGGATAGGGACCGAGATGTGGAGTATGAGAGGGAGAGGGAGAGGGAGAGGGAGAGGAACAGAGGGCGAGAGGGGCCGTTGCAGAGCAGGGGTAGGTCTCCTGTGGGGAGAGCCCCTAGGCCTGAGGCCTATGGCCAGGGGATGATGGGCGGGCAGGAGAGGAGAGCAGCAGGGGGCTATGATAGGGAGCAGGGTGGAAGCAGTGGGGGGTACGACAGGGAGAGGGACAGGGAGTATGGAGGAGGAGGAGGAGGGGGGGGGCACTCATATGATCGAAGCAACTCGTATGATCGGGAGAGAGAGAGGGAGAGGGATAGGGATAGGGAGAGGGAGAGGGGAGGCCCTGCACCGTACGATCGCGAGCGGAGCGGATCTGCACCGTATGATCGGGACAGGGGCGGAGGGCCGAGCGCATATGATCGTGACCGGGAGAGGCAACGAGAGCGAGAGAGAGAAAGGGAGAGGGAGAGGGAGAGGGGAGGTCCAGGTTCAGCGTATGACAGACAGCCTGCCACGCCTCCTCCCCCCCCTCCTGCTGACCACCTGCCAGGTCAGCAGCACCAGCAGCAGAGGCAGCAGCCACACTCTGCAAGTTGGGAGAGGGAGAGTGAAAGAGACTACCGTCATGGGCCCGGGGGAGGAGTGGGGTATGAGGGAGGAGTGGAGTACCGTCGGTCCAACACGGGTCACAGCGACAAGGACTTTGAGACAGGAGGGGCGTATGGGGGGGGGGGGGGATACGGCCCTGGCGGCGCTGCTGCTGCTGCTGCAGGCATGGGAGGAATGGGAGGAGGGGGGCCAGGGGGAGCAGCAGGAGCAGCGATGTATGGGTCAGCGTCATACAGGAGGCGGTTTGGCATGGAGGGGTACGGAGGGGGCGACGTGGGGGGGGAGAGGCGGCGGCCGGAGAACTTTGAGTCGGAAGAGATGGAGCTGCAGAAGCAGCTGTCGGGGCAGCGGGCGGACCGACGGCGCGTGGTGAGTGGGGAAGCGGGGGGGGGGGAGGGAGGGGGGGGGGGAGCGGGGAACGGCGGGGGGGGGGGGGGGGGGGGGGTGCGGAGGAGGAGGAGGGAACAGGGTGAGAGTCTGGGTTTGAGGCGCATTAAATTCAGATGGAGCTGCAGAAGCAGCTGTCCAGGCAGCGGGCGGACCGACGGCGTGTGGTGAGTGGGGAGGGGGAGGGGGGAGGGGAGGGGTGGGGGGGAGGGAGGAGGGTGGGCTGAGAGTGGGGAGGGGGGATGGGGGAAGAGGAGGGGATAGGGTGAGAGTGGTTCTTAGGCTCCTCAAAATAGATGGAGCTACAGACGGGCAACGGGCGGATCGATGCTGAGTGGTGAGTGCTGGGGGGGTGATGGGTGGGGGGCTTGGGGGGGGGAGGGGTTTTGGGGGTGGGGGGAGAGGGTTTTTTTCGCGGGGAGGGGAGGGGGGATGTATGACGAGAATGTGTGTGGGATTGGGAGGGGAACTGGGGATAAGATGGGGCTGACAGGGGGTGGGGATCAAAGTGGGAATGGGGGGTTGGGAGTGGGTGATGGTTGATGGTTGAGTGTGAAAGAGAGGGAAAGGTGTGTTGTGAGTTTAGTACCATTGAAAAGTCTGCCTTTTGAGTCGACTCAAAAGCTGTGTGTTGAAAGATGAGCATACTTCTAGCTAGAGAATCCGCTCCGCTGGGATTAGTCAAGCATACCACCAGGTATGTATGTATGCATGCAGGCGCACAGTGCCCATTGCAAGCAGAATACCCCTATGCACGTGGCTCAGCCAACTCAAATGTTTCTCTTTTTGTTGAAGAGGATTGCTTTTTGTTTCTCTCGGCTTTCTTCCAGAACCATCTCATTCTCCTCCTGCCTGCCCCCAGCTTTGCCTTTCACTGCTGCTTCTCATTATCCACCTCCCTCCCTCCCTCCCTCCCTCCCTCCCTCCGTCCTCCCCTCGTTCCTCTTCCCTCCCCTCCCTTCCTATTCCTTCCTGTCCCCATTCTGCCTCCCGCCCTTTGTCTTCCTCTCCTTCCCCCACCGTGTGTCTCTCTCCCACCTTCCCATCCCTTCCTTTCCCTACACACCCCGCCCTGCGTCCCCTGTGCTCCGTGCAGGAGGCGGTGAGGAAGCAGCAGATGCAGGGGCAGCAGGGGAGAGGGGGGATGCCTGCAGGCTGGGCAAAGCCCAAGTGGTCTGACAAGGACAACGCAAACCCCCATGCTGCTGCTGCTGCTGGCGCTGCAGGGGGTGGTGGTGCTGCTGCTGCTGCCGGGCAGCTCGGTGGTGTGTTCGGCGCCTATGCCATGTTTGGCAACTTTGCTGGAGCGTCTGCGGTGGGCGGTGCAGCAGGAGCCGCAGGAGGGGCGATGGGAGCAGGTGCGGCAGCAGGGGGGGTGGCAGGGGGCTCCAGTGCTGGTGCTATGGGTGCAGGAGCGGGCGGTAACCCTATGGTTCCCCCTGCATTCATTCCCATGGGTCCTCTAGGGCCCATGATCCCCATAGCACCCATGGGAGGCATGCCCATGGCGGGATACGGCCCTGGGGGGATGCCTGGGGGAATGCCTGGTCGCATGGCAGGGATGCCTGGGAGACCTGGTATGCCTTATGGTGCTGTTCCTGGTGCTCCCTTTCCTCCCGGTGCTGCTGGTGCTGCTGCTGGTGCGGGAGGTGGGTCGTTGCTGTCGCAGCGGGCAGCAGCAGAGGAGCTGCGATCAGAAATCACCGAGCAGCGCTCTCTCTACTCGCAGCGCCTGTCCATGGCTCTCACCAGGAGGGCCAGCCTCGGGTCGTACGAGAACGACGGGTCCGGAGGGGCCCACTCGGGCGAGGCCGTCGATCGGGAGAATCTGCACCGTACGTTCTCCGGGTACGGGGGGTACGGGGGGGGGGTGCCATCGGTTATGGCGAGAGGAACGCCGCCGAGGTATGGCATGGGGGGGAGGAGGCTCGGGGGAGGCCCGGGAGGGGGAGGACCGGGATATGCTGCAAGTGTGGGGGGAGGAGGGTATGGGGGATATGGGGAGGGGGGAGCGGGGTCACTGAGCCGAATGAGCTCTGGTGATTGGTCGGATCTGCAGGATACCCAGAGTGATATTGGGTATGGTGGGGGTGGGGGGAGGGGAGGCGGCTACGGGGGAGGGCGAGAGCGGGACGGGGGCGGGTACTATGGGGGAGGCGGAGGAGGGGGAGGGGGAGGGCCGGGTTCAGTAGGGGGGAGTCCGAGGCAGTCAGACAAGAGGCAGTCTGAGAGTGGGGTCGAGGGGGGACAGGGAGGGATGGAGAGAGGGGGTGCAGTGCCTCACTCCCACCACCCCTACTCGCACCAACCCGATAGGATGGGGGGAAGCTACCAGGACCGTGCTGGGTACGGACGAAGCCCAGCTATGGGCCCCCGGGGCGGGGGTGGCAGCGGCAGCAGCAGCAGCGGGTATGGGCCTGGGGGGGGAGGGGGAAGGGGGGAGTATTACAGGAGGGGGAGGAGCGGGGAGGAGGAGGAGGAGTATGTGGAGAAGCACAGGGGCATCGAAGTAGGAGCAGGAGCAGGAGGGGGAGTGGGAGAGTGGGTGGATTCACCTGGAGGAAGCACCACAGGGTCGATCCATAGCCACCCGATTAGGGAGGGCATTCGAGAGGAGTATGGCGGGGATGGCAGGCACAGGGGGTACGGCGGGGGACCAGGGGGAGGAGGGGGAGGAGGGGGAGGAGGCGGAGGAGGGGGGGGAGGGGGAGGGTACGTTCCTATGGGCCCTAGGGAGCTCCAGAGGCGGGCGAGCGACTCCCCACACACACTGGGAGGAGTGGGGGTTGGGGGAGGAGGAGGGGGAGGAGAAGGATTGAGAGCGGCAGGAGGAGGTGGTGAGGATGCTAGGTCGCTGCGGAGGCAGCCAGGGGGTAGCAGCGCGTGGCCTGCAACAGGCAACAGCAACAGCAACAGCGCATCCATGGCTTACTCCATGTCCCCTGTGCTTGCCCCTGAGGATGGGTATGTGGATTCCACCGCAGGAGGCGCAGGCGGAGGGTGGGGAGGGCGGGGGAGCAGCAGCAGCAGCATCAGCAGCAGCGTGAGTGGGGAGAGGGGCGGAGGGGGAGGGGGAGGCGGGTTGAGGACGCAGCTCAGTGGGGTGTCGTCGATTGGGGAAGGAGAGGGGGGAGGGTCGGAGCGGACGATTGCCAAGGGTAGGCTGATGCGGCAGCTGCTGTCAACGGAGCCGGAGAGGCGAGTGGGGGCTGGGGGGCGAGGAGGGAGGGGGGGAGGAGGTGGGGGGGGTGGGGGTGGAGGGAGGCCGGGAAGCAGTAGCAGCTCTAGCGGCGTGCCGGTGACGAAGTAATGTGGGAAAGGAGTGAGAGGGGGAAGGGGAAGGTGGAAAGGGAGAGTGGGTGCATGAGCAGCAGCAGCAGCAGCAGCGAGGGTGGCAGCTGAAACAGCAACGCTGAAGGATGAGAGAACTACCAACAGCAGCTGCAGCAGCGGCATCAACAACAGCACCATGGTTTGAGTACCGATGCCATGGTAGGGCCATCCATGCTGTATCAGCAGGTGTCAAGGGAGGTGGAGTGGCTTGGAAGTTGGAGAGCAGGTCGAGGAGTCGGCCTGGAAGTACTCAGCTGGATTGTGTAATGGCTGACGTGCTTGCCAGGTAGTGTTTTAATATCTGGTGAATGTGTAGAAATAGCGAAGAGTCTTGGTTATTTGTTGTGCTTCTGCGTAGGAGACAGCACATGTAGCTTGAATGGCCGGTAGAGACATTGAGCAAGGTGTGGTGGAAGAGTGCGGAGTGCGTGCGTACGTCGTGCTTGTTGTGAGCCTTTCGTTCTCGACTTGCTGCTTTGGTCGAGTCCTTCCTCTGGAGGGATTTTCTATGAAGCTACGTAGGTGAATCAGATCGTTTGTGCTTAGTGTGGTTGAATCTGTAGAGATTCGGTTTGTTAGGCTTGTGAAATTTGTAGAAATGGTTTTGATAAGTAGTTGTGTAAGGTTTTCTTTTTCGTAGCACAGCACTTAAATTTCCCGAGTGTTTTGTAGACTAGTGGTTCGACTCCGGCTTTGTAAGGAATTAGAAATTCCTTACTGAGGCTTGCTACAGGGCGTACGACTCGAACAGTCCCGAACCAGCGATAGGGTTCTAGACCTTTCAGTTCGAGCCTCCTGGGCCTTTCCGGACCTCGCTTCGACACATCGAGGCCCTTCGACATTTTTCTCGAACCTTCCGATCCTACGTCCAGGATCTGTTAAATTATATATGTTAGTATATAATTGTAGGCTTGGTAGTCGTTACTGAATATTACTGTAGAGCGTACAACACCGCTCCTTGTATCCATTTCCATGGCTCCTCCTCCTACCTAGAACCTAGCTTTAAGACATGGTAACAGAGCCGGTTCCCTTCCCGGGCCTGCTCCCCTCGCTTCCGCCGCGCACTCCCTCCCCGTCATGCCGCGCTGGCCCCGTCAATCCGCGCTGGCCCCGTCGCGCCGCACGGGCCACGCTTCCGTCGCGTACCTGTCCTTACTTCGCCGCCGTCGCGGCCTTCCTACTGCCTGCCGTGGCACCTTTTCCAAGATGCCGCGGCGGCCCTTGTGCGTTGTCGTCCCAGCGTCGACGAGTGGCCGCGGCGACGACGCCACGCTGTGGTGGCGTCGTCGTGATGCCGTGGCTGTGTCGTCGGCCTGGTGTCGTCGCACACCACCTGCGTCGCCGCTGGATTTGCAGCCCGCCCGCCCGCCAGTAAGCGCCGCGCCAGCAATGGCGCCGCGCTGAAGATCCGAAGCCCTGCCCCTTCCCCCTTTCCTCTGTCCCCTCCTCTTCGCCACAGCCGCCGCCTAACTCTCGCCGGTCGTCCCCCTGTCGCGGAGTTTGGACACGCCGCCGGAAGGGCGGGGGCCGCTGCGGTTACCGCCGTCGTAAGCCGAAGCCTTCGCCGTCGCCGCTGTCGTCGCCACAGGCCCCGCACGCCCGACGTCAACGTCGCTGTCACCACTGCCGGGACGGCCACCATCGCCATCTCCAGGGCCTTGGGGTTGGCCCTGCTGGAGTAGTCGTGACTGATGGGAATGGGGGTGCTAGGTTAGGGGTTGTGGGGGTGTGTGGGTCCTTGCTACCAAGCCTAGGGGGTGTGTTAATTATATATGTTAGTATATAATTGTAGGCTTGGTAGTCATTACTGAATATTACTGTAGAGGGTACAACACCCCTCCTTGTATCCCTCTCTCTTCTATTCTAGTTCTCTTTTCTCTCACCAACTTTCCTACCCTAAAACCTCGCGCCATTTCCATGGCTCCTCCTACCTAGAACTTAGCTGTAAGACAGGATCACCCTAGGCTTTCTATATATTGTGTTGTCTTTCATTTTATTGTCATTCACTCGTTCACAGTTTCGCCATTGCCGTCCGCGCTACTCGGCAGTCCCATTCATAACACGCTTTCTCGGTTGTTGTTTTGTTTTGTTTGTTTGTTTGTTTTTTTTTTTTTTTTTGCAACCATACATTATAAGGCGAATTACAATGCAAAGTGAACCACCGTGGTAAGTATAACCAGGGGCCCATGGTGGAACCCGAGTTATGCTACTACGGCGGCTGACAGAAGGTGCGTGGATCAGCCCAGATGGACTGGAAACCAGGGTCTCAGATTGCAGGCTTTTTACCCAGATTCAGGGTAAAATCAGGGCTTTTTTGGGTGATGAACCTGATGAGACAGAATTTTTTCAAGACAGAGGCCTGGAATTTCAGGGTTTTTTTTAAAATAGTGAACTCTGATCGATCAGCGTGCCTAGTGTAGTGTGGCCTGTTTTTCCAGCGTCGTATCGGAGCCGGACCCTGATTCTTCTAATAGCGGATTCCCAACCCCAACTCCCCCACCCCGTGATTTCCGTGAATCCCCCCCCCACCCTCCCCGTCAATCACGCTGACTTGAGTGTGACCGACCAGATTCCAGCCCCGCTGGATAATATTCTGCCATTCTTCATCCAACACATAGTGCTCGGCGGGGTCTCATTGGCTGTTCGAAAGTAGCCAGCCACTACGAGCATAGCTGCAGGGTTTGGATTGGCTCATCGCCAAATTACAGCCACAGCAGCCAATAGACCAGGTATAATGTTAGACAGTTGGCCCACCAGCACGGCAGTAGACCGCTACGCACCCGCTTCGTAAACCACATCCATGCATGCAGAACTCTGTTGCGAGCCACATGCCCTCCACAAACCTCAAGAGACCCCATCATCTTCATCTATCTCTTCAATCGATGCTGTGCTTCCACACCTGCTGCCTCATTCAAGTCGAGTGTTTCCACCCTCGTCGTTCCATTTCTCCTCCACGGTTGTGACTGATTTTCTTACCGTTGCCATCGCGCGATGGCAATACCTAGCGACGGTGATCCGGAAGGCGATGATGGTAGCATTCCTCGTGCAGACCTGTGCACGGGGCTCGACTTGCTCCTCTCGACACTGTCTAGCCTCACCCGCATCTTGATTAGAGCCGATGCTGCGCCTAGAGAACACGAACCTGCAAGAAAGGAAGCTGAACCGATGCCGACTCAGTTTCCGATGTAGTCGTTCTTCCTAAGCAGAGTCTTAGGCCCGATCCATCGACACCAGCTGCCGTCGAGTGCCCTGCTACCGCGACGACTACTCCCAAGCGCCCTGGTGTCGTCGTCGTGATGCCGTGGCTGTGTCGTCGGCCTGGTGTCGTCGCGCACCACCTGCGTCGCCGCTGGATTTGCAGCCCGCCCGCCCGCCAGTAAGCGCCGCGCCAGCAATGGCGCCGCGCTGAAGATCCGAAGCCCTGCCCCTTCCCCCTTTCCTCTGTCCCCTCCTCTTCGCCACAGCCGCCGCCTAACTCTCGCCGGTCGTCCCCCTGTCGCGGAGTTTGGACACGCCGCCGGAAGGGCGGGGGCCGCTGCGGTTACCGCCGTCGTAAGCCGAAGCCGTCGCCGTCGCCGCTGTCGTCGCCACAGGCCCCGCACGCCCGACGTCGACGTCGCTGTCACCACTGCCGGGACGGCCGCCATCGCCATCTCCAGGGCCTTGGGGTTGGCCCTGCTGGAGTAGTCGTGACTGATGGGAATGGGGGTGCTAGGTTAGGGGTTGTGGGGGTGTGTGGGTCCTTGCTACCAAGCCTAGGGGGTGTGTTAAATTATATATGTTAGTATATAATTGTAGGCTTGGTAGTCATTACTGAATATTACTGTAGAGGGTACAATACCCCTCCTTGTATCCCTCTCTCTTCTATTCTAGTTCTCTTTTCTCTCACCAACTTTCCTACCCTAAAACCTCGCGCCATTTCCATGGCTCCTCCTACCTAGAACTTAGCTGTAAGACAGGATCACCCTAGGCTTTCTATATATTGTGTTGTCTTTCATTTTATTGTCATTCACTCGTTCACAGTTTCGCCATTGCCGTCCGCGCTACTCGGCAGTCCCATTCATAACAGGCTTTCTCGGTTGTTGTTTTGTTTTGTTTTGTTTGTTTGTTTGTTTGTTTTTTTTTTTTTTTGCAACCATACATTATAAGGCGAATTACAATGCAAGGTGAACCACCGTGGTAACTGTAACCAGGGGCCCATGGTGGAACCCGAGTTATGCTACTACGGCGGCTGACAGAAGGTGCGTGGATCAGCCCAGATGGATTGGAAACCAGGGTCTCAGATTGCAGGCTTTTTACCCAGATTCAGGGTAAAATCAGGGTTTTTTTGGGTGATGAACCTGATGAGAGATTTTTTTCAAGACAGAGGCCTGGAATTTCAGGGTTTTTTTTAAAATAGTGAACTCTGATCGATCAGCGTGCCTAGTGTAGTGTGGCCTGTTTTTCCAGCGTCGTATCGGAGCCGGACCCTGATTCTTCTAATAGCGGATTCCCAACCCCAACTCCCCCACTCCGTGATTTCCGTGAATCCCCCCCCCACCCTCCCCGTCAATCACGCTGACTTGAGTGTGACCGACCAGATTCCAGCCCCGCTGGATAATATTCTGCCATTCTTCATCCAACACATAGTGCTCGGCGGGGTCTCATTGGCTGTTCGAAAGTAGCCAGCCACTGCGAGCATAGCTGCAGGGTTTGGATTGGCTCATCGCCAAATTACAGCCACAGCAGCCAATAGACCAGGTATAATGTTAGACAGTTGGCCCACCAGCACGGCAGTAGACCGCTACGCACCCGCTTCGTCAACCACATCCATGCATGCAGAACTCTGTTGCGAGCCACATGCCCTCCACAAACCTCAAGAGACCCCATCATCTTCATCTATCTCTTCAATCGATGCTGTGCTTCCACACCTGCTGCCTCGTTCAAGTCAAGTGTTTCCACCCTCGTCGTTCCATTTCTCCTCCACGGTTGTGACTGATTTTCTTACCGTTGCCATCGCGCGATGGCAATACCTAGCGACGGTGATCCGGAAGGCGATGATGGTAGCATTCCTCGTGCAGACCTGTGCACGGGTAACACACGATTTAGTGACGAAGAGTTGTAGACAGCAGAAGAAAAGTCTGTTGCTGTTTCAAAGATAAGGATCAGCTCAATTTTTTATGGCCGCGACTTCTCTGGAGCTTCGAGTTCAAACTTCTCCTCGAGGGTGATCAAATCTTTTGCTACTTTAACGGTTCTTACAACAGATCGACGATCGATACCGAAGATGCAAAGTGCGTCTCCACAATGAATCGCTGATGGTGTGCAGTGTTCTCCTACAAAACATTTCTACCTCCTCAACTCGGAGTTCAATCGTTCAAGACATGTGCCACTCCGGCACGCGATTCCTGGCTACACTTGAAAATTTTGTACCAACCAAAGGACTCCATGTCGTTGAGTCGACTACTCGGTCAGCTACTTAAGGTAGAGATGGCCCCCGGAGAAAAGGCCAGCAATTACATCAACCGCTGCCGAAGCATCCGCGACCAAATCGTCAAACTCGGCAATACCATCACCGAGGACATGTTCGTGACGATTGTGCTCGCCGAATTCACCCCTAAATGATGACCCCGCAAAGCGTTGCTCCGACAACAGGGCAAAATCTCTGAAGCTGCCCTCTACACAACGCTGCTGGCTGGGCAGCAATACATGGATCTCTACAAGGAAAGAGCCCCATGCAAGGAATGACCTCAGCAAGACTCTCGAGACCGGAGATACCAATGACACTCGCACCCCAACAGTTGGAATGACCTTCTCCGAACTTGCCGCAGCCATCACCATCATCCCTTCACAAGGAACTGAGCACCCCCCATACGCCGCCAGCCAACGTCTGCATGACAATCTTGCCTACATGGGCCAATGAGCCTTTGATGACACCGAACGAGCAAGCCCATAGGAATTGGCCACACACATAGCCATTTATCATAATTGGAGGGAACTCACGCTATAGGAAACTGCTGGCTAGGCTGCCAAATTTTCCATGGACATGGCCACCTGGACCTGGGCACTCTCGCTGGCAAAAGCCGCAGCACGGACCGGCCCAGGAACAAAGGAAATAGAGGAGGCTGAAACAACATCAATGATGGCAGCAGTAGTTGCACAAGAGGCAGCAGCAGAAGCAGCAGCACGAGAGGCAGAAGCAGTAGTAGCAGAGGCAACAGCAGCAACAACAGAGGCCGCAATAACAACAGAGGTAGTAGCAGTAGCAGAGGCATCAGCAGCAGCCAAAGCAGCCGTAGCAGCACCAGAACCTAACCAACCCATTGAGCCGAGAGTCAAGATTGGCGCCCAAGTCACTCGTCATATCTCCGCATGACCTGCACCCGTTTCAATGGGATGGAGCACCAATCCGGGAAGACAGATAACGAACTCCGCCAATGTGGGGCCCGGAGGAACATCCAAAACCCGCAACCCTCACAGGATCCTTGGGATCTGAGCCGCGATGACTAGCACGAGAGAGGAGACGACGAAGATGACGAACAGAGCAGGGGGAAGAGCATTTTGGGTGCCTATGTTCCTCTTGGTCGCCCTCCTCAAACACCAAGCACCTGGGCTGAGTACAACGAAACGCAGCAATGGATGTGGAGAACGAGGCGTTCATTCGCAACAACACCTTTGATGATGTCGTTCCCCCTTCCGTTGTCAACATCGTCGGCGGAAAATGGATCTTCCGAGTCAAACAACTCCCAGGAGAAGCTCCACTGTTCAAGGCATGATACGTGGTGAAGGGTTTCACCCAGAAGGAGTATCACGACTTCTTCGAAACCTTCTCACCCACGGCCAAGCTCCCGACTGTGCGCGTTTTTCTTGATATAGCCTCTCATGGCAACTTCAAGATCAAGTCCATGGATGCCTCCTCCGCCTTTCTCCAAGGCCAGCTCAAGGAGGATTTTCACATGGAACGTCCACCAGGGTTTCCTGGTACCTTGCCAACACAGTGTGGAAGTTGAACTGCCCAATGTATGGCCTCAAGCAGGCTCCTCATGAGTGGCACAATAAGGTAAAGGAAGTCCTCCTCGGACTTGACTTCCATACCTCCGCCTCAGATTCCAGTCTCTTTGTTTGTCACTCCTCCGAGCCCTTCCATATCCTCGTCTACATCGACGACTTCATTCTAGCCGCCAGAGATCCAGCCGACATGGCAGCTGTCCAGTCTGCTCTCAGCTCCGCCCTTCTCATAAAGGATCTTGGTGACCTCAAGAACTACCTGGGGATGGAGATCACTCGTGACCGCCAGGCTTGCACGATCACCCTCTCCCAGGAGTCCTACATTGACAAGCTTCTCAAGCGTTTCGACATGGACTCCAGTAACTCTGTCTCCACTCCACTCCCACTAAAGCATCAGCTCACGACCCCTCCGATTCCTTCTCCTGACGCCTGCAAGGACCCGTAACCTTAGCTAGTCGGTTCACGCATGTATGCTATGATGTGCACTCGACCAGACTTGGCTTACCCGGTTAGTGTCCTCCCTCGGTATGTATCCCCCGGACACTACACTACCTCCCATTGGTCTGCAGCCAAGAGGGTCCTCCGCTATCTACAAGCCACCAAGTCTCACATCCTCACTCTCGGTGGTACCTCTCCAGTCAAGCTCGAGGGATACACAAACTCCTCATGGGCCGATGACCAGACTGACAGACGCTCCTCCCAAGAGTAGTGCTTCACCCTTGGTAGCGGAGTCATCAGCTGGTGCTCGAGGGCGCACCCGCTGAATCAGCTCCTACGAGATGGGCAGGCCTGGCGATGGGGAGCGGAGGAGGAAGCGGCAAGAAAGGACCTTCTGGCAGCAGTGAAGTCCGGGACCCTCTTGCAGATCCCGGTGAGGAGCGCTCCCTTCACGCTGTACACCGATTGGAGTCGGAGCGGTCTGGGGGCAGTGCTGTGTCAGAAGATCAAAGGAGAGGAACGAGTGGTGGCATATGCAAGCAAGAGCTGCAGCGTCACCGAGGCCAACTACAGCTCCTATGAAGGCGAAGGGCTGGCAGCAGTATGGGGAGTGACTCATTTCAGGGTGTATCTCCAAGGCCGACACTTCACTCTTGTGACCGACAACCAACCCCTGCTATGGCTGATGAAGAATCAAATGCTGACAGGACGCAACGCTTGGTGGGCAATGAGGCTTCAAGAGTACGAGTTTGACATACAGCACCGGCCGGGAAAGACCCTTCAGCATGCTGACGGGCTGTCTAGGAGTCCTCCTCCACCGAAAGAGCCTCAAATGGCGGCAGCCGCCGACCAGGTACAAGAAGCGGGAAGCGGTGCAGGGACCAGGGGACAGGGAGATCGAGGGGTGGATATCTGGCAGGACGAGGAAGCTCTCCTGTGGGTAAAGGGGGAGCAGCCCAATGAAGGGGACACGTCGGCACGGGCACGGGCTCACTGGAGTCATTACCGGTGGCAACTGGAGCAGCTGCAGATGCGGACCTCAGAAGGATGGAAGGTAGTGCCAGCACCAGGACAGCGGGAGGAGATCATCAGCCGAGTGCATAAGAAGCTGGGACACTACGGGGGAGCGCGCATGCGCCAGCTGCTGAGCACCAGCTATTGGTGGGCCGGAATGCGCAAGGATGTGGTGGCGTGGGTAGCTGGTTGCGAGCTGTGCCAGAGAAACAAGGCAAGTCTGGAGCGAGGGAGGGAGGAACTACAGTCGCTGCCAATTTGAGAGGTCGGCTACCGCTGGTCATTGGATCTAGCTGGGGAGTTGCCGATGTCCAGGAGGGGTAAGCTCTACGTGGCGGTCATGATAGAGCACACGAGTAAGTGGATGGAAGCAAGGGAACTGTCCAGCAAAAGCAGCTCCTTGATCCGAGAAGCCTTCGTGGATCAAGTGCTCAGCCGCTTGGGAGCTTGCGGGGAAGTACTGACGGACTAGGGCACTGAATTTCAAGGAGCATTTGCGGAGCTGCTGACAGAAATCGGGATTACTCACAGACAGATGTCTCGCTACCATCCTCAGTCAGATGGACTGACGGAGCGGCTCATTCAGACTCTGAAGAAGGGACTGCGAGTGTATGGGGAGCAGCACAAGAGGGACTGGGATCTGGAATTGCCCTGGGTCCTGGCGGGGTACCGATTCGCCAAGCAAGCGGCGCTGAAGGACCTCTCCCCATGCTATCTACTGTATGGGTGGGATCCCATACTGCCCGTCGACACCTCGAAGTTGCTGTCGGCCGTGGTTACCGCAGGGACACCAGAGAATTGGGCGGTCTTGGCACACCACCGAGCAGCCTACCTCAGGGAACTCATGCCTGCGGCGCTGGAGAATCTACAAGTGGCTCAGCTGAGGGATGCGTGGCGGTATGAACAGAGGAAGAGCGGGATGGGAGGACAACCATGGAGCAAGGTGGTCGAGGGTGGGGAGGTGTACGTGAGGCGAGCTAAGGGAGACACGCTGGACATGGCGGTGGGGGCGGAACGCTGGAAGGTGAAGGAGATGCACCCGTCCGGAGTCTTGGTCCTGGAGAATGCCGAGGGTTACACCGCACAAGAGCACATCAAGAATGTGGCAGCGGCCGGAACCAAGGGAGAGACGACCCAAGCTCAGGGTCCCGTGACTCGGGCAGCGGCAGCACGAGTCCGAGCACAAGAGGGGGCAGAGTAGCTTGGAAAGACAGTACAGCAGAAGGTCCGAGCCACTGCTAGAGGGGAAGGAACAGGTCAGGAGGCAGGGCAGTACGCTGCACAAGCACGGGGAGGACAGGGAGGGAGGAAGGCACGACAGCTGTCGCGCTAGCTAGCCAGATCAGCGGGTGGCTAGCTAGCACAGCAGCTATGTAGGATACAGGGAGGTGTAGATAGCGATCCATGACAGCGACAGCGGTGTAGCAACAGAAGCAATTCACGGAGATGCAGCACCGAGGGCGGCAGTATCGAAGTGGGACCAGTTCTCATAAGCAAGGAGGTGGCGAGAGTCAGCATGACCTCAGCCGGGGCAACCCACGGACTAGTCACCCAGCTCAACTGGCGTTCCACGGTCACCACGTGTGGCGCCCATGATTGGATGAGGCCAAGTCCAAGGGTTTTGTATGGGAGTGTAAATAGCCTGTACTCTAGTGTGATTCCTGCTTTTTGCTTGTTTGTTTCCGTCATACTGCAATGTTCTCGCTTTGACTTCAAGAGACGGGCAGTGGAAGGAATTCAGGTTCACTTGCTTCAGATCTAGATCATCGAGCAGGAACTTGTTGCATGAGTAGCTTGGAAAGACAATACAGCAGAAGGTCCGAGCCAGTGCTAGAGGGGAAGGGACAGGTCCAGAGGCAGGGCAGTACGCTGCACAAGCACGAGGAGGACAGGGAGGGAGGAAGGCACGACAGCTGCCTCTCCGAGATCACCCAATGCAGCACTGGCCGGATCCTGTTCGCCAACACTTTCGAAATGATCTTATCGATTGTGTTCAACAGTGAAATCGGTCGATAATTCTGCAAGTTTTCCGTCTCCCCTTTTTTGTGTAACAGCACTGTCACCGCCGTTTTGACCGCCCTGGACAGCTGTGCCATAGCCTCAAACCTCCTTAAACTTCCATCACTTGGCCCCCCAACAGGTCCCACTGCGCCTCAAAGAGCTCCTTCAGAAGCCCATCTTGTCCCGGGGTCTTCCCTGTTGCGAGCTCGGAAATCGCCTTCCTAACCTCCACTTCTGCCCACTGCGTGCATAACGCATTAGCCTTTGCCTCCCCCAGCCTTTTGTCCAGGTCCGGCGCCCAATGCCCCGACCCCTCAGCACATGACGAGCTGCCAAAGGCTTTGGCGAAGTACTCCGTCGTTGCCACCAGGACCTACGTAGGCCCAGTGTATACCTTCCCTTCTTGCACCACGGTCTCCATAAGCGTGCGGGCCTTCCGGCACTTGATCTTCTCTGACAGGTACCGTGATGGAACCTCCCCTTGGAATTCCGCCCTCATGCCAGCCATCGCATGCAGTCGCACTCTGTTGCCATCCTGGTACGCCGACAGCTGTGACTCAGCCACCAGCAGCTCTGCCCGCTTTCCCTTGTCCCCAGGGCACATCATCACCTCCAACCTCAACCTTTCCACCTTCTGATCTAGGTGCCTTTCTGTTGCCGCCTTTCGTTTCTTCTCTTCCATCGAGTAAACGCGGAGCCCCCCCGTCAGCTTTAGCGTCAGCAAATCAAAGTCTGCTGTGCCTGCCCCTTTGTTCTATTGTATCACCTTCTCCACAATCACCCTCACCCCAGGTCTGGAAGCCTGACACCCCGAGAGCCTCCAGAGACCTGGACCCAACTTCCCCATTCTTCCACATATGATAACCACCCTTATCGCAAACCAGTGATCAGAGAGCACGAAGGGGACCGGAACATGGCGCGCCTCCACTAGATCGCTCAGCAGTGACCTCGCCACCAGGGCACGGTCAATGCGGGAGCTTGTGGCTGACACCCTTAAGAAGAAAGTGAACTCCCTCTTACAAGGGTGCAGCGTGCGGAAAGCGTCACACATATCCCACGCCCCACACAGAGCCAGCTGCTGCTCATTCTCTCCTGCCGATCCCAGTTTTGACGACCTATCCAGTTCCGGATCTGCCACCAGGTTGAAGTCCCCAAACAACACCACTCTGGCCGCCGGCGACACCCCAGCCAAAACGGCCCTAACACTTCCCTGAAGAAACAGCCTCTGTTGCATGCCTGTGCAGGGAGATAAACCGCAACCAAGACCAACTCCAAGTCCTGCCACTCCACCCGGACCCGGAGCAGCCTCCCTGAGGCGTGCCGCACCACCTCCGTAAAGCTGATGCCCTGTCTGAAACCAATCACTGCAACCCCCCCAGCACGTGTTGCAGGACCGACTACCGCAGCTGCAACTGGCCTGCATTGCGTCCAGAAATTGTGATCCTGATGTATCCTTGTATCTGTGACTTCCATTATACATGAGACATCCATCGAAGCCGTTCTTTTGTATTCATAATTCCGCCCTCTGTGACCCCATGTATATCAACAGGCTGGGTAAAACACTCCAGTTGCTGCAAGAACTGCGACTTCCATTATACATGAGACCTCCGATACATGAGACATCCATCGAAGCACCAGCCTCCCATCAACCAGGGCAAAACACACTGCCGCTGAGAGATCGCCACCACGCTTGGCTCACTTTCCCCCTTCCTTTTTCAGGACAATGAGCTTTGCAGATGCTTTACTGGCCCAGATTGCAGCACCAGGCTTCAGCAAGCTGTTGCAATAACGCACCGTGGCGATGTGCAGCTCCGCCGCATTGAAGGTGTTGCCATGTGCCTTGTCGCAGCCGCTCAGCACACAGATCCAGTCCTCCCGACTGGAACCTGTTGAGACTAGGACAATCGTCAGATCCAGCAAGAGGGACTGCACCGGGCCTGCTAGCATTAAGGAGGCAGCTGAAAGGGCGGAGCAGCAGTGCAAGACCAGCGATGCCGATAAACACACAAGATAAGTAGCTACCCCCACCAGACAGTAAGAGACAACTCAACTGGTGAGCAGCATGCACCAGTAGGGCACAACAAGGTAGCGGAAGAGAAGGTGAGTGTAAGAGCCTTTTACCGTTGAGCTCATGAACCTTCCCCAACGTTAGGTTCCATTTGGTGATGCTATACTGACGCTCCATTACAAATATGTCATGAAACAGCTCCTAATGAGGACCGCCACACAGCAGACAGGTGAGCGCTGGGTAATGCACTCGCAGCTTCTTGCCCGTCCGTTGCGGATCAGCAAAAAGCGGCGCTGCGTATCCCCTGGGTGCTGATATACCAGTCCCCTGATCTTGTCCGTGTCCGATCCAGTGACTGGATCCAGCACCCAATGGAAATGCAACCCTTCCTTGAAAGCCGACTGGTTCCTCTTCTTGAGAACCACCTTGATCAGGACCGCCCGCATCATCTCCGGAGTAACCTGCGCCGGGATGCTCTTGAACAGCACCTCAATAGCCAATGGATTCCGCGACTTCTCGAGAAGATACTATTTGCACTTTGGGAACAGCCAGCCCAAGGTAAGATGCTCCCCGTTCCTGCAGATGTGATCAACCTCTTGCTACGACATGGCAAACTCCGCATCCGACTCCTTGTCGAAGGTCATCTGCAGCCTTCCGAACCGCTTCGACGAATAATAGTTTGGTAAGAGCTCTTGGAACTTAGTCGTGGCTCGAACATCCTTCGAGAGCTCCTTCCTCCACAACATCAGCAGCGATCTGGTAGTCTCCTTTGTCCTTGGAACCTCCTGAATATGACTGTACGGCACGAGCTGCGTTAGTGAGACCTTATCCATTGACGCGATCTCCGCAAGCATTCCCATGTCAAATTCCTCGTCAAAATCCTTACTGTTATGCGCATCATCCTCCTCCTCTTCTTGCGATAAGACCCCACCCATTACCACAGGCGGCGACGATGACACCCTAGGAGCAACGGAAGGGAGGACCGGCAGAGAAGTCGACACCCCCTTGGGCACAGACACCGGCTCCACACAAACCAGATCATGCACCAGACCATCGCCAGATGTAGGCAGCTCGGTAGGCAAAGCCTCGTCAGGTAATGAAACGTTGTAAGGCGTAACCACCGGATCCACCGTTGTGTTAACTCCAGACACATCAGGGTCATCGTCCACCCTGGGTGGTTCCTGGGTCACCGACGTCTGACCCCTCCCTTGCTCCATCTCTTCCATATCCTCTCCTGCCAGGGACAGAGACCCCAGGTGCTCCACACCTTCGACCATGCCATCCGCCTGAGAGTTCCTTAAACCCGAGCGAGAAGAGGTCTTGGTCACCTTAAGCTTAGGAGCCATTGTGCAATGATGAGATCCACACGGCTGTCCGTGAATGACAGAGTTGGAGGACAAATTGAACACCAACTTGTTACATATGCACAACTTATGCAGCACCCTGTAGTCATGAAGTCACCAGTCCTAACCACTGGGACAAGAAGGGATATCATCAGGAGGGTTAGGCTCCATATATCCACCTTCCCCGAGGAAAGCCTCCCCAGTACCCTCCCTAGAGATAGAGAGAGGATTGACAGGGTTATCCCAGTGCCATGACACACCCCCCCGCTGGGGTAACGTGTACACCAGGAATTGAACCCCGGATGGCTCTGATACCAAGTCATGAAGTCACCAATCCTAACCATTGGGACAAAAAGGGATATCATCAGGAGGGTTAGGCTCCATATATCCACCTTCCCCAAGGAAAGCCTCCCCAGCACCCTCCCTAGAGATAGAGAGAGGGTCGACAGGGTTATCCCAGTTCCACGACACCTGTACCTTCCCTTCTTCCTTGATCTTGATTGCTTAGCCTGATCCATACGATGGCCAGGTGACAGCCTGCCTTGCACTGATTGCTCGAGCTGGAGGTCAGCCTGCCTTGCACCCCTACGTCCCCGTCGCGCCCCTAGCCGGCCCCGTTGAGCCCCTAGCTAGCCCCGCCGCGCCCCTACGGCCCCGTCGCGCTTTTAGTAGGCCACGTCACGCCCCTTCGGCCCCGTCGCGCTCCTACTCCTCGTCACGCCCCTACAAACCCGTCGCGCCCCTGCGGCCCCGTCGCACCCCTACGGCCCTGTCGCGCCCCTATGGCGCCGTCGCGCCCCTAGCCGGCCCCGTCGCGCCCCTACCGGCCCCGTCGTGCTCCTCCGGCCCTGTCGCGCCCCAATACGGCCCCGCGCGCCACTACGGCCCCTCGCACCCCTAGCCGGCCCCACGTGCCCTTGCCGGCCCCTTGCACCCTAGCCGGCCCCTTGTGCCCTAGCCGGCCCCTTGCACCCTAGCCAGCCTCGTCGCATGAGCCGCCGAGCCGCCGTGTCCCCGAGCCGCCAAGCACCCACGCCGCCGAGCCGCCGTGCCGCCGTGCCGCCGAACCACCGTGCCGCCGAACCACCGTGTCGCTGAGCCGCTGTGCCGCCGAGCCGCCGTGCCGCCGTGTCCCCGAGCCGCCGCACCGCCGAGCCGTCGAGTCGCTGTGCCGCTGAGCCGCTGTGCCGCTATCACACTGTGTGATGGCGGATGCCGTTGTTCGCTTGGACGCTCAGGGGCACGCGATCGACTTCGCCGCCTGGCTCGTCGACCTCCGCCGGCACCTGACAGGTCAGCGCCAGGATGGGCACTCCCTGGCTATGCATGTTGATGGTTTGCTTCCCCGCCCCCCTGTGCCTGATCCCTTCCCTGCTGACCCTACCACTGCTGAGAGCGAGGCTTTTGCTGCTGCTGCTGCGCTTGCTCGAGCTGTCTGGGATTCTCGCGACGTAGTAGTCCAGCGTGCCATTAGCCATTCCCTCCCCCTGTCTGAGCGTCCGCGCCTTACCGCTGTCGCGAACGCCAAGGACTTTCTCGCTGTAGTAGTTGAGCGTTACTCCACACCTGCTTCTGCCTCTGCTGGCCGCTTGATCCTACCCATGCTCTTCCCTGATCTTTCTGCTTTCCCCATGGTAGCTGACCTCGCTACTCACCTCCGTGCACTAGAGACCAGCTACCGCGCTGCTAGTTCTGCTGCCCAGCCTACTGCCTTCCCCCCACCCTTCTGTGCTACCCTGTACCTCATTGCCATGTGCCTGCCTGACCGCTTAGCCACTGCCCGCGACCACTTCCTTAATCACCACCCTGCCGACCTCACCCTGACTGCCTTTGTCACTACTCTGTCTGAGATAGAGACTCGCCAGTGCACTATCGCTCAGTCGAGCGCTGTTGCAGCAGTCCATGTCTTTCAGGGCTGTGCCCCCTCCCAGTGCACGTACGCTGACGTCTCCGCCGTAGTTGCCACGATTGCGCCTGCACCTGAGACAGCAGCTGCGGCTTACCCGCAGCAGCGCCAGCGCCAAGGCCGCCGTGGCCCCAAGGGAGGACGTGGAGGTGGCGCTAGTGGTGGTGGTGGCGGGGACAGTGGTTCTGACAAGGGGGTTGGTGCTGGTGCCCAAGAGCAGCAGCAATTGCAGCCGCCGCAGCAGCAGCAGCCGTCATAGCAGCAGCAACAGCAGCAGCAGCAGCAGCTGTGGGCTCGTCTCCCGCCCGGATGGCCAGGAGCCCCTGGCGGTGGTGGTCGTGGTGGTGGCCCTCGCAGCTCGGCGTCCACCGGCAGCTTCGGTGGTGTGAGCTGCCAGTACCAGCTTCAGACCAGGCCCCTGCGTGGCAAGGTGTGCCGCCGCTCGCACCCCACTGTCCGCTGCTTCCGCCGCCTCGACGACCTCTTCCGTCGCCGCTTTGGTCCCGCCCCGGACCTCCCTGACTGGCCCAGCCTACTGTGCCACGGTGTGCCTGTGTTTGACTTAGACATGGATCAGATTAGTTCTGCCTTACATTCTCTGTATGCTGACGCTTCGAGTGTTTCCGGATCTTATTACTCTGTGTTCACTAGCTTAGGATAGCTTGCTTTGTCTAGCCTAGGCTCTACCCTTGCACCTCCATCGTCGGCCACTACGGCGTCGCTGTCCTTCACTCTAGACTCCGGTGCGTCCGCCAGTTTCTTCCGCGACCACTCCGCCCTCACGTCGCTTGTTGCGCTTACCGCTGTCTCCCTTGCGGACCCAACCACTGGTCCTATAGTTGCTCGCAGCTACGCTACCCTTCCCTGTCCGGCGGTTCCCTCGGGTTCCCTTACAGGCCTGCACATCCCTTCGTTCTCCAGTAACTTAGTTGATGTAGGCTGTCTTCAGGACCTCGGCGTCACCACTACGATCCCTGGTCACGAGCGAAACGCGGTCTGTTCTGAGGCCGTCTCAGATGCCCCCCTTGCGACGTTCCCCCGGGACCCTGTGTCTGGCCTGTTTACGCTGGACATTGCTCCCCCCCCCCCCCCGGGCGGGTGAGTCCTCCTTCGGTTCTGCGTCTACCCAGGTAGCTGCGGCCTGCTCGTGTCGGTCGCTCACTCACCCGTCCCAGTTGTGGCACCACCGCCTAGGTCACCCCGCGCTCCCCCGCATGCATCACATATCTCAGCACGGTCTAGTCCTCGGCCTCCTTGCGTCGCTCCCTGCTCTCCCTCCCTCGTCTGCGCCGCCGTGCACGCCCCGCGTCAAGGGCCGGCTGCGCCGTGCTCCTCACTCCCACTCACTTCGCCCTGCCACTGCACCCCTTCAGATTCTGCACTTAGACGTCTGGGGCCCAGCCCCTGTCCCTGGGCCACGTCGCGAGCGCTACTATCTCGTGCTTGTTGACGACTTCACGTGCTACACCACGGTGTTTCCCCTGGAGTGGAAGTCCGACGTGCCTAACGTCCTTATCCCGTGGCTCGTAGCCGCGCACCTTCACCGCAGTCTCCTTGTGCTGTGTCTCCACTCCGACCGTGACGGCGAGTTCGCCTCTGGTCGGCTGGGTCAGTTCTGTTGTGCGGAGGGTATCACCCAGACATACACCCTACCGGATTCTCCGCAGCAGAATGGGGTCGCTGAGCGACGCATCAGTTTGGTCATGGAGGTGGCCCGCCCTTAGGGCCTCACCGGTACTTTCCCTCCTGGGACCCAGTGGCTCCTCCGGCGCCCCGTCTACGGCTTGCGACAGGCGCCCCGTGAGTGGCACGACATGCTGCGTGCCATACTAGCTCACCTGCAGTTCTTTTCATCCTCTGCTGACCCTTCGCTCTTCGTTTATGCTGGCCAAACTCCGTTCTACATCCTGGTCTACGTGGACGACCAGGTCTTTGCTACAGCAGTCAGAGACGTGCTGGCCTCCGTGAAGGCTGAGTTGCTGAGGCGACACACCTGCACTGACCTAGGAGAGCTGCGCCACTACATTGGCCTGCAGATCTCCAGGGACAGAGCAGCGCGCACCATCACTCTTACACAGTCACACTTGGTGCGCCAGGTCCTTCAGAGGTTCGGTCTTCAGTCCTCCTCCGCACAGGCCACACCCCTGCCAGTAGACCACATGCTCCTAGCTCCAGTTCCTAAGGAGTCAGCAGAGCCCAGTGGTCCTTACGCAGAGCTGGTGGGTTGCCTCATACACCGGATGACTTGCACTTGCCCAGATCTCGCATACCCTTTTAGCATCCTGGCCCGCTTTGTTGCCAGAGGCAGACACCGACCATAGCACTGGTCGGCCGCTAAGAGCGTTTTTCGTTATCTTGCAAGTACATCGGGCATGGGGCTAGTGCTGGGAGGACGCAAGCCATTTGTCCTTACAGGGCACACATGCGCTTCTTGGGTAGACGACGCTGAGACCCTCCGGTCTTGTCAGTGCTACTGCTTCAGCCTTGGTTCTTGTGCCATCTCGTGAAGGTCCACTCGCTTCTCGTTTGTTGCTCGGTCCAGCTGCGAGGCTGAGATCTACGCCGGTACCATGGCGGCATAGGAGCTCCGCTGGCTGACCTTCTTGCTCACTGACTTAGGTGAGCGGCCAAGCTCTGCCCCGGTTCTGTATGCTGACAACAAGGCCAGGATCCTCCTGTGTCAGGAGCCTCGACTTGGGGCAGTACGAAGCACATCCAGCTGCGGTACTTCATCCTGCGCGAGCTTCAGCAGCGTCTCCAGGCCCGCGTAGTACACTTGGCCTCCGGTGCCAACACAGCTGATATATTTATTAAGGCGCTTCCGCCTAGAGATCATCTGTGGCACTGCTTGCAGTTAGGTCTAGTCCCTGTTGATTCTCACTTGCTAGGCCTTTGATTGTGTACTCCTTTCTATTTATGCCTTCTAGAATGGCCTTGTGGCCTTTTATTCCAGTGGTTGGACTAATAGTGGCGCCCTGGTTTGCTATGTGTTGCGTGTACTCTTGCTGACTGGTCTTTAGACCTTGCCTCAGAGGCTGGACTAGTAGTGCCACCTTGAGTTGCGTGTTTCTTGCTCAGCACTATATTGTTATGTAGAAGTTATAGGCTGGATAGGGTATGTTCTTAGTGGATACAACCCAAATGCTATATCTCATCTGTACTCCCTTTTTCTAATCATTCTTTCTAGTCTTAACAAAGTACACCATTGTGTTCGTCTCGGCATGCTGAATATGAATCCGTAATCCAATGTGACAAGAGATTGACCAACATATCGGTCGGTTCTAGTTTGCGACAGAATCCATGACGGACTGGCTGGTTGGTGTTAGTTGATATGGTGTTTGTTGTTTCTGAGAGTTTTTTTATACGGTGTTCTTCGATATGGTGTTGTTGATTCTTGTGCCGGAATCATCGTTTGTACAGTTTAGCTGCAGAAGCGTGGTTGGCCTTTGGTGCAACTGTACAGTTTCGCAGTGTAGCTCGCCTTCCGGATGTGGTCCACGCGTCAGCTCACGATGTACGCGATCATGGGCTGGGTTGGGAGGTGAAGGCTTTTCTCTGTGGTGCAGGGTTGCAGAAGGCACCATTTATTTTGCTGATTTCCTCCGCAAGGCTCTAACAGGTTTGCCTAAACGACTGGATAAAACGTGTAAGTCCTATATTTCAACCGCCGCCGTGTGGTAACAAGGGAAACAACTCGATTTCTCCCCATCCGGCCCACTACTGTCCCTACCCAGAACGAATCATGCGAAACTACCAACGTAAAAGAACCTTCATGACCTAGAAGCCGACATAGGTACCCCCGAAAAGGGACAGCCTCTCATCGAATTGGCCAGCCGTTCCACCACCACCCAAACTAAAGGACGCACTTTCACATCCTCCTCTCAATGATTTTTCATTTAAGGCCTGCTCCTACGCGACACAATGTCAAGCTACTTCACGTCAAAATACTTTTCACGGGCAAATTTGACGGGAAATTCCCAATGATACGACCTATCCTGACATCGTGTCGCCTAGGAATAGGCCCTTACCCTCCTCCCCACCCTACCCCCCTCCCTCCCCTCCTCTCCACCCCCTATGTTTTACGGGTAAATATCCGGATTTGGATACCTCAACGGGCTGTTTTCGACCGGAATTCCCTTTTTGACGGACTCAGTTATCTCTGAAACCGGGGGTTAACTGGTCGATTCTGGCTTGAAAACAGGCTCAAAGCGTAGGTTTCGAGGGATTTTGGCCGAAAAACGGACTTTGACGAGTACGACTGGGGCCGAAAACGGACTTTCACGGGTGGCTTTGGTAGGGAATCCGGATCTGACGAGTGGCAAAAAAACTAATCTGAAGCCCTGCTCCCCTCCCTCTCCTCCCCTCCCCGCCTCCCCTCTCCCACACAAGCTCCCTCCCTGGCAGTCAAGTTCCCTTTCTCTTGACTGCTGGCCTGGCTGGCGGGTGCGTGCGGGCATCGCGGATCTGGCCTCGAGCAGGGCTCTCGCTAAGCCTAGGGTATTCCGTTTGGTCACAAATTCGTCCCCAAAATTACCCGTTATCGGACGGAGTCTCCGAAACAATACCCATTAGCATACGGATTCGTCGAAGAGCTACTCTTGGTGTGAATATCACATCCTCAAAGACGGATAGCCTTCGCCACCGCTAAGGAAAAGCCATTCAACCTCCAGGGACTGTTTCTCGCATATGCTATGCCTCAGGCGGTTGGACAGATAGAAAAACTTTCCGCTAACTAACCTCTCTTTGCTTTGTGGGGGATGTTGGTGAGAGCGGATGGGAGGGTAGGAAGGGGTGCTACACTGCTACGAACAGATCTCATGCTACAAGTGCGGTTCTCTTAATTTCGTGACATTAAGAATAATTACCCTGTTAGCCAGAGCCCTGCTCGAGTCTAAAGACCTCGCCTGCTCGGCTCAGCTCAGGCTCTGAAGAATTGGGGGGGATGTGTGTCCATTTGTCACTCACCATTCATTAGCCTTCCCTCTCCCCTTCCTCCAACACTCCCATCCCATCCCATCCCATCCCATCCCATCCCATCCCATCCCATCCCATCCCATCCCATCCCATCCCATCCCATGCCATCCCATGCCCCCCTCTCGCCTCTTGCAAAAGCTGCTACTTTGCGTCCCGCTTGCCTCGTTTTCTCTCCGGCCCCTCTGGTTCCTCCTCGTTCCTTCTTCCTGTTGATGAATCTCTCTCCTCCGTATGTTGCAAACAATGTCCCTGGCTTGCTCCGTAGTAGCTCCGTCACCTTGTCGTACAATTGCGCTCCGTCCAGCGATAATTATACCGGGGACCCGACAGGCGTGCTCTAACACTCGCTGGTCATCGTAGCGTTCTCCGAGGGTAAACCTAACCCTAGGACCGGACCGCGATGGGTAGGCGAGGCGACGCGTCGCGAGAAAAGGCGTCGCGCGGCGGCTCGGACGCCGCGTTTCGCGCGGATGACGAAGAGGAGGAGGAGCGCGTCGTCGAAGTCGACCCCACCGGCCGCTACGGACGCGTGCGTGCTGTTACCTGCCTGTGCCTCGCGAGCGCCGCGCTCGTTATAAGAGCGAGCGCGCTTACGCTTCCCCTCCCCAGCTGCCTGAGCATAATGTCCTCGGCTCGCTCCCCCTACCGTCTATGGAGGATTAATTTTTTAGAATTCCCAAAGGTGACTCGGCTCGCTCCCCCTACCGCGCTGAGCTCGCTCCCCCAACCCTCACTGATCATCAAGGCCCGCCGGTAGGGATTTCATTACCATGATACGGATCTCATCCCCAGTTACCCCCTCTCCACCCTACACGTGGCTCGTCCTCAGCCCGCCGCCCTACACCCGTCCTCCTCCCCACCTCCCCTCCGTTCCACCCCTCCCCTCATCCTTCTCCCTCTCACCCTCCGCCCTCCTCTCCTCCCTCGCCTCACGTACATAGAAATTCGTCCATTAGGTCAGCCATGGCTTGGTCCGTCCATGGCGACTGTGTCTCGGGTCCAGCCGTCCCGCTCTAGCTCGCGATTGCCCGCCGCTCGCGCTCCCTCCACGGGCCCTCCACGCGCCCTCCACGCGCCCTCCACGCGCCCTCCACGCGCCCTCCACGCGTCCCCCACAATGTCATTGCGTCGCACTCGCGCGACTTCCTCCTGCCGTCTAGCTGTCTGGTCTGGGTGACCGCCTGGGAATTTATTAGCAGCGACGGTACCGTGCTGCGTGGCCTCATACCCTCCCTACTTCCTCCAAATTCGTCCCCTTCCATCCCCTCCCATCCCCTCCCATCCCGCCCGCCCCATCTTGCCCCATCCCGTCCCACCCCACCCCACCCCATCCCACCGCATCAATGCCACTCATGGGCGACGCGTCTTGGTGTCGTGCCCCACTGCAGTTCGACCGGGTGCTAGGCAAGGGCGCGTTCAAGACTGTGTGAGTCACCTCCTACTCTCTTTCTCGTCCCTGTCTCCCTTCCTTATGCCCCCAACCACATCCCTCCCATCCATTCTCTCCCGCTCCCGCTCCCCCTTCCTCATACCTAATCATCTACGCCCTCGCCCCGCTTCTTTTTCTGCCGCTCCCTCACTCCCTCCCTCACTCGCTCCCTCACTCGCTCCCTCAAGTTTCTTCGGTCCAACATTCCCGCTCCCCCTTCCGCTCCCCCTTCCGCTCCCTATCCCCCTGCTGCCTCTGCACTTCTAACGAAACACCGCTCCCCACTCCTCATTCCCCTCCCCTCTCTCCCCCCCGCTATTGCCACCCAACCCCCGTTATAATCACTTCACCTCAGGTACAAGGCGTTTGACGAGGTGGACGGCATAGAGGTGGCTTGGAATCAGGTGAAGGTGCGGGACGCGTTCCAGTCCAACGAGGACCTCGAGCGCCTCTATAGCGAGGTGCACCTGCTCAAGACCCTTCGCCATAAGAACATCATCAAGTTCTTCAACTCGTGGGTGGACGCCAAGACCAAGAACGTCAACTTTATCACCGAGATTTTCACCTCTGGCACTCTCAGACAGTAAGTGCTGCTGCTACAGCCTGTTACGCTGCAGTAAGCTGGTGCCCGTTGCAATAAGTGCTACAGTCTGAGAGTGCCACCGCTGGAGCCAGCGATGCGATGGAGCTTAGAAGCTAAGGTTTGGTTTGGTCATTGGTTGTGTGCTCCCCTCCCCGCTTCTTCTACCTATGTTTCGTTGTTGAGCCATTCCTGCACACTCTTTCCCGGCTTCGTTCTTCCCTCCCCGCCTCTCCAATTTCCCTCCCCTGCTCCCCCGTCGCCCATCATCTCCCTGCTCTCCGCCTCTCCCGTTCCCCTCCTTGCTCTCCGCCTCACCATCCGCACCCTGTTCTCCTCCCTTCCTGTTCCCCTTTCCCCGGTCAACGCACGGCAAGCCGGCACAAGCACCGCATTGTACTGTGGGTCACCTCAGAGCACTTCACCCTGCAACCCCCCCACCCCACCAACCCCTCCTACCCCGCCTTCTCCCACCCCCCCCCCCCCCTTCTCTCCCCCCTTGTCCCCTCCCCCGTTTCAGGTACCGCAAGCGGCACAAGCAGTGCGACGTGAAGGCGGTGAAGAGTTGGTCGAGGCAGATCCTGCGCGGGCTGCTGTACCTGCACTCGCACGACCCACCCATCGTGCACCGCGACCTCAAGTGCGACAACATCTTCGTCAACGGCCACCAGGGCGAGGTCAAGATCGGGGATCTGGGGCTCGCTGCTATATTGCACCAGAGGGACGCCGCACACAGTGTGATAGGTGAGAGGGGGAGGATTGAGAGAGGGATGAAGGGATGAAGGGGGGTGCGGTGTTGGAGGGATGGAGGGTGGAGGGTGGTGGTGGGTAGGGGTTGGTGGGTGGGGGAGGGGTGTGAGAGATAGTGCGGTGTTGTGTGCATGCATGTTAGCTGGACAGCACGGGGAGGGAAAGGGAGCGTGGCATGACCGGTTGGATGGATCGTGGGACTGGTTCTGGCTTGATGGCCCCTCTTCTTTCACATTTGTTTGCTTTTCGCCCTACACTCTCCTCTCTCTCCCTCCCCTCCCTCCCATCCCTCCTCTGGCAGGTGCTCTTTCTCGCCCAACTGACACCCTCCCCTCGCTCCACCTTCCCCTGCTCTCCCCCCGGACTCCTTTTCCCCCTTCTATTTCCCCGCCATTCCCCCTTCCGAACCCCCCAGGCACCTCCGAGTTCATGGCGCCGGAGCTGTACAAGGAGGAGTACAACGAGCTGGTAGACCCTGGTACAGTGGCGCATTACAGATTCCCCCCTGTCCCGCACCCTACTCCTGACACTGCTTCCCCCGGACCCCCACCCACCACTCCCCCCCACCCATCCCCTCGCTGTCTCCAATCCTCCCCTCCCTCCCGTCCAACCAACCCAACCCCCTCTTCCCCACCCAGGCACGCCGGAGTTCATGGCGCCGGAGCTGTACGAGGAGGAGTACAACGAGCTGGTGGACATCTATGCGTTCGGCATGTGCGTGCTGGAGATGGTCACGCTCGAGTACCCGTACAGCGAGTGCAGCAACGCCGCACAGGTCTACAAGAAGGTCACCGCGGTGCGTGGGGCTTGCGGTGGGGTGCGGTGGGGTGGGGTGTTGTGCTGTGTTGTGCTGGGCTGGGCTGGGCTGGGCTGGGCTGGGCTGGGCTGTGCTGGGCTGTGCTGGGCCCAAACCCCCCCCTCTTTTTCGCCACCATCCCCCACCTCACCCCTGCTTCACTCATCACCCCCACTCTACTCTCTCCCCCCTCCCTGCCGAATTCTCCCCATCCACCTCCCCCCTCCCCCCACCACAGTTCAAGAAGCCCCTGGCACTGCAGCAAGTGAGTGTGACCCAGCTCTCCTTTGTCTATTGCCTCTTAAACCTTCCCCCTCTCTTCCCCCTCTCTCCCCCCTCTCTTCCCCTTCTCTTCCCCCTCTCCCCCTTCTCCACCCCTCACCGCACAGGGCAAGAAGCCCCTGGCGCTGCAGCGGGTGAAGGACACAGCCCTCCGCGAGTTCATCGAGCTCTGCCTCGCGTCGGCCTCGCGCCGCCTGCCTGCGCGCGACCTCCTCAACCACCCCTTCCTTGCTGAACCCCACCGCCCCTCCCTCTCGCTCTCCTACTCCTCCTCCTCCTCCTCCTCCTCCCCTACTCTCTCCGCGGCTGTGCCGCCCGCGTTGCCTGCGCTACCAGTACTCCTACCAGCAGCATCATCAGCAGCAGGAGCAGGAGCCGCAGGGGCAGGAGCAGCAGCAGCAGCAGCAATCCGAACCAGTACCATTGGCAGCATTAGCAGCAGCAGCAGCGTGTGTGAGACTGCTACCTCCTTGCATCCTTGCCTCTCTGCACCCTCTCTGCCCGTGGGGGCGCATGTGGCTGCACAGGGGGGCGCTGGAATGGGGAAGGGGGGATCAGGGGGGAAGGAAAGGGTAGGAGGAAGGGAAGGGGGAGGCAGAGGGGCGATGGGGGGTGCAGGGCCGCGGCGATCTCCTATGGTGTCCCCCCGAAAGGGCAAGGGATCGGTTGGGTTCACTGACCAGGCTCCCAGTTCTTCTCCCCCCTTTGCTGCTGCTACTACTGATGCTGCTGCTGCTGCGGCTGCGGCTGCTGCTGCTGCTTCTAGTGCTGCTCCTGCTGGCTCGTTGTTTGCTGGCGGCTACGTGCCCGCCGCTTCGTCTGGCACAGCTCCTGCTCTTTCAGCTCTGCGCGGCAGCAGCCGCAGCATGGAGGGCATTGCGGTGGGGGGGAATAGCCGTAGCCATAGCAGAAGCAGAAATGAGCCGCCACAGGGGCACAGACGCAAGGGAAGCGAGGGCAGCGAGGGAGCGGCCTCTGCGCTAGGGCAGTGGGAGCAAGATGCAGGAATGGGGGAGGAGCGCAGGGTGATAGGGAGGATAGGGAGGGTAGGGAGTCCCACAGCAGGGAGGATCGGGAATGGGGTGATGGTTGGGTATGCAAGAGTGCAAGAGGGGGAGAGTGGCAGCAGGAGCAGCAGCAGGAGCAGCAGCAGGGGTAGAGAGTGGAGGGATAGCGAGGAGGCAAAGCTGAGGGGTGATGAAGGGTGGAGAGGGGTGAGTGGGTCTCGGGCCATGGGGGGAGGAGACTGGGGGATGGGGGGAGCCCAGGGGACGACGGGGGGGTATTTCTATACTAGCAGCGCGGGTGGGAATGGGAACTTTGGCACCGGGAGCAGCAGCAGCAACACCAGTGGAACCGGAAATGGTAGCGGCAGTGGCAGGTGGCAGGGTGGGGAGAGACTGGGGCCTGGGGGCGTGTGGGGCTTTCCCCCTAGCAGTAGCACCGGCAGCAGTAGCAGGAGCGGTGGCTTGGGTGTGAGTATGAGCAAGAGCGTGGGAGGGAGGATGGGTATGGGAAGAACCATGGGAATGGGCATGGGCACAAGCACAGGCAGGGGAACGGATATGAGCATAGGCGGTATGGGCGGAATGGGCAGTATGGGCATGAGTGCGAGTTTGAGTATGAACCAGCTCCCAACTGACTTGACCATGCATAGCCAAGGGTATGGCTGGATCATGGAGACTGGCTACAGGGGTATGGGCATGGGCATGGGCATGGGGATGGGCATGGGCAAGGGGATGATTTTGGGGATGAACGTGGGGAAGGGGATAAGCATGGGGATGGGTATGGGTATGGGCAAGGGGATGGGTATGGGGAAGGGTGGGAGGGACGTGGGCGGCAGGGATTGGAGGCATGCGGGAAACGCCCACCATGCTCATGCATCCATGGTGCATTCCCGATCTATGAACATGGACCATGGCCGTGCCCATGCCCTTGCGGATGCCCCTTCCCATGCCCTTGCGCATGCCCATGCTCCTTCCCATCCTAACACGCTCTCCTTTTCGCAATGCAACACGCACATGCAAGCCCATGGTGGGCAAGAGAAGCACGGCAGCAGCAGCGGCCAGGGCAGCAGCAGCAGTAGCACGTGTGCCCCTGGCACAAGGGGCATCCGCGAGGGGAGCAACATCAATGGAAGCGATGGGAGCAATGGGAGGAGTGGGAGCAGTGGGAGAAGTGGCAACCGTGAGAGACACAAGGAAGCCGATTGGTCAGCCTGTGACCTGGCCTCACCCTCTAGTCGCTCTGCTGCTTCTGCTGCTGCTGTTGCTGCTGCTGCTGCTGCCACTGGTCGTGGTGGTGCTACTGATGCAGCCACTGGTGCGGCTGCTGCTGCTGGTAGTGTGCAATATGGAGAGGTGGGTATGCTGGAGGTTGGAAGAATCGGAGATCCAAAGTGGGATGATGAGGGGGACGAGAGGCGCGGAGGAATCCAGTGGCATGAGTCCATGCATGGGCAGCAGCAGCAGCACCACCACCACCACCACCAGCACCAGCAGCAGCCCCAGCCCCAGCAGCAGCACCAGCAGCAGCAGGAGCAGGAGCAGCAACAGCAACAGCAGGAGCAGCAGCAGCAGCAGCAGCAGCAGCAACAGCAGCAGAAGCAGCTCGTAGACTCTGGCTGTGTGTGCCTGCGGCTGAGGGTGGCGGATGGCAAAGGTCAGTCAGTGCCATGGAGTGAGTCTATTTTTGAGGTGCCTCATCTATTGGCTGAGAGTGGCGGATAGCAAAGGTCAGTCAGTGCCACTGACCATGGAGTGCCACTGCCATAATGTGATCCATCGTGTCTACTGTCCAGCTTACTTCAGTATCAATCAACGCACTGTCCAGCTTAATACAGTGTACCTCCCCCTCGCATTCCCAGGTTCCTCCATGCTCACGGGCACGCTTCTAACCACACTGTTTGAAACAGCATATGGTATCTTTCTTCTCTTCGCCTCCTCTCATGCGTCTCCTTGCCATCCACTCTCCTCCAGGCCCCTCGCAGATGATTCAGCTCTCCTGCACCCTGGCGTCAGTCAGACTGGCCCTTCAGCGTGGCGCGCACGGGACATGCTGAACGCCTTTTTCCCTGCCTACCTCTCTCGTCTGTCTTCTCCCCCATCCCCGCCCAATTCTCCCTTCCGAACCCACCCCCACCCTCCACGCCTGGTCAGTTCCCCTACTGTGTTGCCTGGGACTCGCCCTTAAGCATGGCCCGGGCAGCGATGCTGAACGCCTTCTTCCCCTGCCTGCCTCTGCTGTCTTCTCCCCCGTCCCCCTCATCATATCCTTCCTACCCATCCGTGCCCCCCTTCCCCCTCCCCAGGCCGCTCGCAGATGGTTCAGCTCCCCTTCAGCCTGTCGTCAGACTCGCCCTTCAGCGTGATCCGGGAGATGGTGGGCGTTTCTACCCTCCCACTTCTGTCTTCTCCCTCGTCCCTTCCCACGTCTCCTTCCCCCCCGCCCCTTCCCCCGCACCAGGCCGCTCGCAGGTGATTCAGTTCCCTCTCTGCGTCGCCTCAGACTCGTCCTTCAACCTGGCACAGGAGACAGTTGACTCACCTTTCTCCCTACCTGCCTGACTGCCTCCCTGCCTGCCTCCACTGTCTTCTCCCCCATCCCCTCACATGTCTCCTTCGTACTCCCCCACCCACCCCCTCCCCGCCCCCTCCCCCCGCACCAGGCCGCTCGCAGGTGATTCAGTTTCCCTTCAGCCTGGCCTCGGACTCGCCCTTCAGCGTGGCACGGGAGATGGTGGACGCCTTTGCTCTACCGGCCTCTGCCGTCGACGCCATCGCCCACTCCATTCAGCACCAGCTGCTCGCTCTCCTCCCCCCTGCCGACCTTGCGCCTGCTCATGCTGGTGACACCAGTGCTGCTGCTGCTGCTGCTGCTGGTGACGTGTTGGCGGTGGCTTCAGCAGCGGCTTGTGCTGCTGATGCATCTGCAGAAGCTGGTTGCGCGGAGGCTGTTTCGGCTGATGAATCAGCGGATGCTGCTGCTTTGACTGGTGGTGATGTCGGTGGTGATGCTGCTGTGTTTGCCACTGCCCTCTCTCTTGCTGCTGCCTCTACCAGTGCCACTAGCCTGCCCCCTGTGCAAGCTAATGCTGTCAGTTCTGTCACCACCGCTCCTGCTGTTGCCTCAATGACTGCTGCAGCTACAGCAGCAGCAGCACAAGCAGCAGATGCAGACGGAGAAGCAGCACTGGTAGCAGCATCCGCAGCAGCAGCCGATGCTCCTTCTGGGCTGCTATCTCCCATATCTGCAGCAGCAGCAGCAGCAGCAGCTGGAGATACCTCCCTCCCTCATGACATCTCTTTTACGCTCGCTCCCACCTCCTTGCCCACACCTCTTAACCTCCCACTACCTCTCTCCACCGCATCTTCTAATGCTACCAGCACGTTTGCTTCTGCGATGGCCTCCCCCCACTCGCCGCTTTTTGAGCCGAACCAAACCTGCACTTATAACAGTGATGCTTTGGTAAGTGCCAGTGGTGACGGGGGGTCGGAAATCGGGGCTTTTGAGCAAGGAACTCGCTTGGTTGTGGGTAGAGGCCAGAGGAACGAATCTGGCGATGTGTTTGTGGGAGTGGGAGTGGGGGAGCATTTGGCAGCACAAGTAGAGGGCGCTAGGGAGGGGGCAGAGGGAGAAGAAAAGGAAAGGAATGATAGAGAGGCGATTGCTAGTAGGGGAGTAACTAGACAGCTAGATGAGAAGTATGGGAAGGAGAGAGGCCTAGGAGGTGGGGAAGAGAGCAGGGGGGGGCAGAGGGGAAGGGACAGGGCAGTGAGTGCAGGAGAAGGGGGAATTTGTGAAGAGCCGGGTCAGTTGGAGCGTGTTGTGCTGGCGGAATGTGATAGCATCGAGGGCCTTTGTGAGTGGAATGTGCGTGCTTGTATTGGTGCTGACGGTGGTTACAGGGAGCGTGCTTATAAGGGGGCAGAGGTTGCGCCGGGAGCCGTTATTACAGGAGGCCTTGCTGTGGAGCAGGTAGGAGCTGGTGGTACGGGAGAAGGAGGTGTGGACCAGCACGGGGAGAGTTCGAGATGTGAGGAGAGTGAGGGGATCGAGGAGAGCAAGGAGGACGGGGGGGAGGAGAGGAGGAGCGGTGGGAGAAAGGGGCTCGATCATGGCAAGGGACATGCATTGCTGGACTCTGCCCTTGCACCATCGAGTTATGCTGAGGATAGCGACAGGGACAGGGGTAACCCCGCCGCAGCAGCAGCAGGGTCCTGCTCCTCCGCAGCAGTTGCTGCTGGTGCTGCTGGTGCTGCTGGTGCTGCTGCGTCTGTTCCTGATGCACGTGACCAGGAGTTCCCATCTGATCCAAATTTCTATCACAACCATGCCTCTCGCCCTGCTGCTACCCCTGCCCCTGACCCTGCTGCTGCTGATGGTAATGCTGCTGCTGTTGTGGAGGGTGGCAGAGTCGCTGCCACTGCCGTTGCCGAATCCACTGCCGCTGCCACTTCTCACGCCGCAATCTCCACTGCAAGTGATCCTTCAGACTTTTCCACCCTTGTGCCTGCAGCTGTAGCACCAGCAGACTACCAACAGCCTATACTGAGTCTGCCTGTATTGAGTCAAGATTTTCTAGACGCTGCCCAGGTTCAAGAGCCCTCTGCTGCGGATCCAGAGCTCCTGCAGGTGCATGGAAGGTTCGTCTCCTTCCCAACGCCAGGGGAGGGCACACGAGGCAGCTGCAATTCCAGCAGCAATAATAGCAGCAGCATCACTGGCATGGCAATACTCGAGGCAGAAACAGCAGCAGCGGGAGAAGCGGCTGGCGGGGAAGCAGCAACACCAGCAGCCGCAGCACCTGCACCAGCAGCAGCAGCAGCAGCGGCAGGTGAAGAAGCGCAGTGTGTGGTGGAGGTGGAGTCAGCAGGGGTGCTGGTGGCAGCGCCATCGCCAGGAGGTGCTGTGATCAGTGCGGTGCCGGCACCGTTAGTGGGACTCGCTCTCACCTCTGGGGGCTCCCTTGGGGCCATCAGCCTGGACGTGGCGGCTGGGATGGCAGGGCTAGGGGGCATTGGGGGGGGCATGAGGGAAGTGGGGGAGTGGGGGGAGTGGGGGGAGTGGGGGGACAGGGGGAAATGGGGAGTGTGGCCTCAGTTGGCAGTGGGGGCATGGCATCGGGTGCAGTGGATGCAATGGCATTGGCACATGGTGCTACAGCCGGCTTTGCTAAAGCTGCCGCTGCTGCAGCCACATGTGCCTCTTCAGCCCTGAACCATGAAGGCCCGCTTTCCCTGGAAAAGGCTGCTCTTCTAGGGGAGGGACCAGCACACACACCAGGGGCACATGGTGCAGGGCCGCACTTTTCAGAGCTACTGCCTCTGTCTGCAGTGCATGCTTCGGGGATTCACTCCGCAGAGGAAATCTCAATACAGCGGCAGCAGGCAGAGGGTGCGTGGACCCCCTTGGGGAAGCAGGAGCGGCGGCGGAGGGCGTTCACAGAGGCACTGTTCAGGAGCCTCACTCTCGGTGTGGATAGTGCCAGGAAGCTTTGGAGGGGTGGGACTGCTGCTGCTGCTGCTGCCTCTCCTACTGCGCCTTCTCCTGCCGTACCTTCTGCTGCTGCGGCAGCAGTGGCGGCTGCTGCTGCTGTCGCTTCTCCTGTCACTGGCAGGCACAGCATGAGCCCTTATGGGGCTTCCTTTGCGGCGCCTGCACGCCTGGGAGAGACTAAGAGGCGCAATAGCATTCACGGTACCAGTTACAGCACCTGCAATGGCACAAGTGGAAGCAACTTCAGCAGCACCAAGAGGATAGAGGAGGAGCATCGAGAGTTGTGTGAGCGGCTATCGCAGTTGACTGAGAGTGTGCAAACGGGTGAGAAGGGTCTTGAAAATGCGATGGGTCAAGTGCAAGAGAGGACAGGAGACGCAAGGTTGAAGGAGCACTTGCGTCCAGCTGTGGTACATGGTTCGCAGGGGTTCGGAGCGGTTACTGAAGTCGCACCTATGGCGGATGATGATGGTGCCACGGCTGTGGTTGGTTGTGAGGGAAAGGAGAGGAATGGTTGGGTGGTGCGGGTGCATGAGAGGAACCGAGGTCATGTTTTGCAGATTGGTGCGAATGAAAGATTTGTAGGGGGGGAGAACAGGGAACGAGGGGAGTTGAAGAAGGGAAAAGCGGAGGAGAGGGAAAAGAGGAAGGAGGAGGAGGAGAGGATGAAGGAGGAGGAGAGGATGAAGGAGGATGAAGTGAGGGAGACAAGAATGAGGGATGAGAAGAGGGAGAAGTGGGAGGAGGAGGAGCGGGAGGAGTGGGTGCGCTGTGAGGCAGCATTGGTGGTGGAGATGGAGCGGGAGTTGGAGAGTGTGCGAGATAAGTACAGGCAGAGGAGGCGGCAACTCCATGCAGCGTGGAGGGAGAGGAGAGAGGCAAGGGGGCAGAGTGCTTCTTGGCAGTCACACACACACACACACACACACGCACACTGCAGAGTACAACCGAGTCTGTGAATGAGGCTCAGGGGACAGGTGATGGCACCGCTTGCAGTATAGGACCTGTTGAATGCGCCGAGTTCCGTGTAAGGGTAAACGGGTGTTGGAGGAAGCAGGTGAGGATTCGAGGGGGATATGCTCAAGTGTATCACCATGGATTATAAAGACGTTGCAAATATATCGTAAGGTATCGTAAGTTAATCATATGGCACTACAGTATTTTTATCAAATGCTGTGAGGAATGCGTATGGAAGGAGTAGTGAGAAGTGCAATTTGTGTCTCATTTATTTATGTGTACGGTGTGCGAAATGAAACCTGATGCGGTTATTACTGTTGACACTGTAGCTCCTGAGATCGGGTTGTCGGCCCAGCGCTGAGCAGTGTTGCCCAATGGCGGCGAAGCTGTAGAATCTCCCAGGCCACTGCGACTTGCGCCCGCATCTCACCATCCATGCTCCAGGGGAACTGTACGCGGAAACGGGAAATCGAAGTTGCGTTTCAACATGCGCCGCTCATCTTGGTCCATTTGCTCTCCCCCACACTGACCCTGGAAGTTTTGTGGTTCCGTCTTTTCTGGCTCTCAACTCAGGCCCCTCCTAAACTCGAATCTGGCGACCTCGAGAATCCCACCGTTTTTTGAATTTCACTCCCTTAGATCAGGCGAAGAGCCAAGGCAGGGCTTGCTTTTTGCCAAGCCCTAGCCCCAAGAATCAGCTTTTGTCGCCGCGGGCCACCTTAGCATGGATGATTACGAGAAGCTAGAGAAAATTGGGGAAGGCACCTACGGGAAGGTCTACAAAGCACGATGCAGGAGAACTGGACAGATCGTCGCCTTGAAGAAAACGAGGCTTGAAATGGAGGAAGAGGGTGTTCCTTCCACCACCCTGCGAGAAGTAGCTTTGCTCAAACTACTTTCACAGAGCATGTACATTGTCAGGTCAGACCTGTGATACCTACGTGCGTTTCTGGTTTCGCATTCATTGTCGTTGTACTGACGATACGCAGGCATTTCTCGCAGGCTGATAGCTGTCGAGCACGTCCTCTCCAACGAAAAGCCTGTGCTCTGTCTTGTGTTTGAGTTCCTTGACACGGATCTCAAGAAGTACATAGATGTCAATGGCCGTGGCCCTGGGCTTCCTCTGGAGCCCCATAAAGTGAAGGTGAGATGAGATCGCTCTGTTGCTGACCCGGTCCCAAATAATTCCGCCTCGTCTCTCACCCTCAGCTGTTTTCATGCAGAATTTCATGTATCAATTGTGTCTTGGAGTATCGCATTGTCACAGCCGAGGGGTTATGCACAGGTACGAAGATACCTCGCTGATGAACTTGCGCTTTAGCAACCAGCGTCCTCTCATACTGTTGCTGATACGATCGCAGGGATTTAAAGCCACAAAATCTACTTGTAGATAAAGAGAAAGGCATTTTGAAGATTGCAGATTTGGGACTTGGCCGGGCCTTCACCGTCCCGCTCAAGAGCTATACTCATGAGGTAGGGCGGCGTTCTGATTTTTCTCTCTGAAGATCTTGTGCTGCACGTTCTCGTTCACTGACTTAGCACTTCGGCCTGCCATCAGATTGTCACCTTGTGGTACCGTGCTCCTGAGGTTTTGCTGGGAGCCATCTACTACTCAACCCCTGTGGACATGTGGTCTGTTGGATGCATTTTCGGTATGGCGAACAGCTTTTCTCTGTTTCCTTTTGTACCACATGCGACTTCACTGACGCAACGTTTCTCTGTCTCTCAGCTGAGATGGCCCGCAGAGCTCCTCTGTTCCCTGGTGATTCTGAGCTTCAGCAACTTCTACACATCTTCAAGTAGGTCCATGCTCTTCGGCATATTTGCCCTTTTTTTTTCTCCCCGACTTCATGAATCTTATCTTACATGCAGGATCCTTGGGACTCCGAACGAAACAGTCTGGCCAGGTGTCACAAAGTTGAAAGACTGGCATGACTTTCCTCAGTGGCCCCCTCAAAACCTTGCACAATTCGTCCCTGAATTAGATCCCCTAGGCATTGACTTATTAGAGGTGAGTGAATTCATTTTGCTATCCTTACAACTACTATTGTCTTCGCAAACCTGAATTCTCTCTTCGCATGTTTGTGTTGCTGCAGAAATGTTTGAAGTACGACCCTGCACAAAGAATATCTGCGAAAGATGCTCTCAACCACCCATACTTCGACAGCCTTGACAAGTCCCAGTTTTGAGGATTCGTCATCATACAAGGCAGGCACAGTGCCTGCTGCTGTCATTTGCATCTAGTAACAGTATACTGTCGAACATGTTTAGTTATCATGCTTGTATAGACTGTATAGGGTCATCTTCTAGAGAGTACAACTGTTAGGTATATGTTTGTGTACTCTCTCTCTCTATTTATCAATTTCACTGTTTGATATGGTATCACGCGTAGGTAGGATCCCCCCCCCCCCTCACGCTTCCGCTCGCCCCCTAGCTGGGCCCCGTCGTGCTCCTAGCCCCGTCGCGACCCTCCCTAGCCCCGTCGCGACCCTCCCTAGCCCCGTCGCGCCCCTTCCTGGGCCCCGTTGCGCCCCTTTCTGGGCCCCGTCGCGCTCCTCCCAGGCCTTGTAGCGCCCCTCCAGGCCCCGTCGCGCCCCTTTCAGGGCTTCGTAGCGCCCCTCCAGGCCCCGTCGCGCCCCTTCCAGGGCCTGGTAGCGCCCCTCCAGGGCCCCGTCGCGCTCCTCCCAGGCCCCGTAGCGCCCCTCCTGGGCCCCATTGCGCTCCTCCCAGGCCCCGTCGCGCCCCTCCCTAGCCCAGTCGCGCTCCTCCCAGGCCCCGTAGCGCCCCTCCTGGGCCCCTTTGCGCTCCTCCCAGGCCCCGTCGCGCCCCTTCCCGGGCTTCGTAGCGCCCCTCCAGGCCCCGTCGCGCCCCTTTCAGGGCTTCGTAGCGCCCCTCCAGGCCCCGTCGCGCCCCTTCCAGGGCCTGGTAGCGCCCCTCCAGGGCCCCGTCGCGCTCCTCCCAGGCCCCGTAGCGCCCCTCCTGGGCCCCATTGCGCTCCTCCCAGGCCCCGTCGCGCCCCTCCCTAGCCCAGTCGCGCTCCTCCCAGGCCCCGTAGCGCCCCTCCTGGGACCCATTGCGCTCCCCCCAGGCCCCGTCGCGCCCCTACCTGGGCTTGGTAACGCCCCTCCAGGCCCCGTCGCGCCCCTACCCATCCCCGTCGCCCCTGCTCGGCCCCGTCGCCCCTGCTCGGCCCCGTCGCGGCCTATCGGCCGCGTGGCGCCCGCCCGGCCCCTGTCGCGGCTGCCCGGCCCCTGTCGCACCTGCCCGGCCCCTGCTCGCCCGCCCGGCCCCGTCGCCCCTGCCCGGCCCTGCTGTGGCCTGCCCGGGCCCCGTCCCTGCCGCCCGGCCCCGTCGCAGCCGCCCGGCCCCGTCGCAGCCGCCCGGCCACGTCGCAGCCGCCCGGCCACGTCGCAGCCGCCCGGCCCCGTCGCCCCTGCCCGGCCCTGCTGTGTCCGGCCCGGCCTCGTCCCTGCCGCCCGGCCCCGTCGCAGCCGCCCGGCCCCGTCGCAGCCGCCCGGCCACGTCGCAGCCGCCCGGCCTTGTCGCTGCCGCCCGGCCCCGTCGCCGCCGCCCGGCCCCGTCGCAGCCGCCCGGCCCCGTCGCCGCCGCCCGGCCTTGTCGTGCCTGCCCGGCCCCGACGCACCTGCCCCGGCCCTCCATACTTCCTGGTACTGTCCCCCGTTCCCCGCACCACTTTGCACCCTCCTGCACTTTCCTGCCCCGCCTTGCATCGCATTGCACCTCCCTGGATCGCACTAACCGCACTGCACCGCACTGGACCGCACTGCACCGCACTGCATCGCACTGGACCGCACTGCACCGCTCTGCATCGCACTGCACCGCACTGCACTGTCCTCCACTGCCCCTCATGGCTGCTGAGCTTCGTTTTGATGTTGAGGGTCAGCCTCTGGAGTTCGAGGCGTGGTTGGCTGACCTTCGCCGCCACCTCACTGGCCAGCGGCAGGACGGCCACCCGCTTTCTGCACACCTAGACGGTATGCTCCCCTGCCCTGACCCCCCTGCTGTGCTGCCCGCTGATCCCACGCCCGCTGAGCGCGAGTCCACTGCCGCTGCTGCCCTTGCCCGCTCTGTCTGGCTTTCCCGCGATGCCCTTGCTCAGCTCGCCATTAGCAATGCCCTCCCCCCCACTGAGCGCCCTCGCTTTAGAACCATTCCTACCGCCCAGGCCTACCTCGATGCTGTCATCAAGCGCTATTCTACCCCTCCTGCTGCCTCAGTGGGTCGCCTGATCCTTCCCCTGCTCTTTCCTGACCTGACGTCTTTCCCCACTGTCTCTGACCTCGCTGCCCACCTGCGCTCGATAGATGAGGCCTGGCGCGCTGCCTGCACTGATGCTCAGCTTAGAGTCCACCAGCCTCCCATGACCTCTACCCTCTACCTCCTTGCCACCCGCCTACCTGACCGCCTTGCCGCCGCCCGCGACCAGTTCCTTAGCATCCACCCTGCTGCTCTCACCCTCACCGACTTTGTTGACACCCTGACTGCCATAGAGACTCGTCACCGCTCCATAGCCCTGGCGAGCGGTACAGTACCGGTCCCTATCTTTCAGGGTTGTGCCCCCGCTCAGTGTACCTTCTCCGACGGCTTTGTCGCTGTGGCTGAGACTGCTGCTGCAGTGCAGTCCCGCTCGGCGAAGGGCCGCCGCCCCAAGGTTGGGAGCGGCGGAGGCGGCGGGGGTGCGGGTGGGGGTAGTGGTGGAGGCGGGTCGTCCGGTGCCGGTGCGGACGTGGGGACCCTGCCCGGTCCAGCTGCCCCGCTGCCTCCACAGTTGCAGCAGCCGCAGCAGCAGCAGTCGCCGCAGCCGCAGCCTTCGCAGCAGCCGCAGCAGCCGCCGCAGACGAGGCAGGCGAGTACTCTCCCACCTGGGTGGCCTGGAGCTGGTGGTGGTCGTGCGCGTGGTGGTGCACCGGGTGGTGGTTCTGGAGGCGGGCCCTGTCAGTACCAGATCCAGACCGGTCCTCGCCGCGGCTTCGTTTGCGGTAAGATCGGTCATTCTACTCCTCGCTGTTTTCGTCGCCTGGACGACCTGTTCCGCCAGCGCTTTGGCCCGGCGCCCGACCTCCCGGACTGGCACAGCTTGCTTAGGCGTAGCATTAGGATTTTTGACTTGGACATGGATGCCATTGTAGCGGCCTTGCATGTGATGTATGCTGATGACTCTAGTGTGCTTCCCTCTTATTACCCCGTGTTGCCTAGTGTAGCGGTGGCTAGCGTAGACTCCCCTGCTGCGTCAGGCGTAGGATCTCCTGCTTTGCTTAGCCTTGGTGCTTCCACCGCTTCACTGCTGCCTCGCGCGACTGCTGCGCTTTCCTTCACCTTGGACTCTGGCGCCTCCCGGTGTTTCTTCCGCGACTCCACGACGCTGACGCCGCTGCCTGTTCCCGCTGCAGTTACTCTTGCTGACCCCTCCGGTGGTCCCGTCGTTGCCCGCAGTTCCACCTCCCTTCCCTGTCCGGCGGTTCCTTCGGGCACTCTCACAGGTCTGCATATCCCCTCGTTCTCCAGGAACCTAGTTGGTGTCGGCTGCCTCCAGGACCTTGGCGTCACCACTACGTTCCCTGGTCACGAGCGGTATGCTGTCTGTACCGAGGCCGCCACTGGTGCCCCCCTGTCCACGTTCCCCCGGGACCCAGTGTCCGGCCTGTTCACTCTGGACACCGTGACCCCCCCGGCTGGAGCGCTCCCTCAGGTGGCTGCGTCTACCCAGGTTGCTGCTGCCTGCTCCTGTCGGTCCCTCACTCACCCGACTCTCCTTTGGCACCACCGCCTAGGTCACCCTGCGCTCCCGCGTCTGCGTCACATGTCCCAGCACGGTCTCGTCCTTGGTCTCCCCGGTTCGTTCCCCGAGTTTCCCTTCTCCCCCGCCCCACCGTGCACGCCTTGTGTCGAGGGCCGGCTCCGCCGTGCCCCTCACTCCTCCTCTTTTCCCCCTACCACCGCACCACTGCAGACTCTGCACATGGACGTCTGGGGCCCAGCCCCGGTCCATGGGCCGCGTCGCGAGCGCTTCTTCCTAGTGCTTGTCGACGACTTCACGCGCTACACCACCGTCTTCCCCCTGGAGCGGAAGGCCGACGTGCCTGACGTTCTCATCCCCTGGCTTGTCTCTGCTCGTGTCCACCGCGGTCTCCCTGCCTTGCGCCTTCACTCCGACCGGGGTGGCGAGTTTGCCTCAGGTGTCCTTGGTCGCTTCTGTCGTGCGGAGGGCATCACCCAGACGTTTACCCTGCCGGACTCCCCGCAGCAGAATGGGGTCGCTGAGCGACGCATCGGTTTGGTCATGGAGGTGGCTCGCACCTCCATGATCCACGCCGGTGCACCCCATTTTCTGTGGCCGTTCGCCGTGCGCTACGCCGCTCACCAGCTTAACCTGTGGCCGCACCCCCAGCGGCCGCAGGTTTCGCCGACCCTTCTGTGGACCGGGTCCCCTGGTGACGCGTCTGCGTTCCGCGTCTGGGGCTGCCTTGCTCACGTTCGTGCCTCTGGCACGGACAAGCTCACTGCCCGCACCCTCCCCTGCGTCTTCCTCGGTTTCCCCCTTGACGCGTCCGACTGGCACTTCTACCACCCGCCGTCTCACCGCTTCTTTCACTCTCGCGACGTCACCTTTGACGAGTCCGTCTCCTTCTACCGCCGCTTTCCCCACCGTGGTCCCCTGGTTACTCCCCCCCTTTTCCTGGTTCCTCCCTCCCTGGTGGTCCCTGCCCCTCCCCCCCCCCCGCCCCCCCGTCCGGCCCCCTCTGGTGTGTCTCACGTCACCCCCCTCCCGTCGGTCGTCCCGGTCGACGAGTCTTCTGACTCTGGTAGTCCTCCGGCGCAGTCCTCGCCGTCTGTCCCTCCCCCGGTGTCTCCTCCTCCACCGCCTCCGTAGCCGCCGTCGCCGCAGCTGCTGCAGTCGTCGTCTCCACCGCCGCCGCCGTTGCAGCCGTCGTCTCCGCCGCCGCCGCCGTCGCAGCCGTCGCTGCAGCCGCCGCCGCCGCCGCCGCTGTCGTCGCTGCCGCCGTTTGTGGACTCTGGGGGTGTCCCTTCTGGGGGTGCAGGTGTGGAGGGTTCGGGAGGTAGCCGTCGCGCAGCTTGTGGCCCTGGTGTTGGTGTTGTGTCGCCGCAGCAGCAGACCCCGCCTGTGTCCGCCCTCCGTCTGCTCGGCCTTCCGTCTCCTGACCCTGCGCCTGTTCCTCTCCTGCCGTCTCCCCCTCTTCCCGTCTACGGCCCCGTGTTCCCTCTGCCAGACTCGTCCCCGGCTCGTCTTCCCCCTCGTTCCCCTCCTGTGTCCCCTCCTCTGTCTCCTGACCCGACGCCGCCCTCACACGTCTGGTCTCGCCGCCCCTCTCGTGCTCGTCCTGTCTCCCCTGTCCCGCGCTCTCACCCTATGTTGCTCCGTTCCCACGCGTCTCGACCTCCCCTCCTCCCGTCTCCTCCTCCGTCTTCTCTTGTCGTTGCGTCTCCTCCTCTGTCCGACTCCTTTCGTGCCGCTCGTCCTCTTGTTCCTCGGGTCCTTGCCTCTCTCGTTACCGACCCGTCTGTTCCCGTGTCGAGTCTTGACGCCCTCGTCGCTGCGGTCGCTGACTTCGCCTCTACCCGCCGCCTTGACTACGCCACCGCTCTGGTCTCTCACCCTGCCTGTCCTCCGTCTGTCGGGGGTGCTCCTGCCCTCGGCAGTGACGTCCTGGAGGACCGCCAGTTTGAGCTTGCTTTCCTGTCCGAGGCTGCTCCCCATCTCTGTTCCATGCTGCTAGTCCCTGAGGGTGACCCAGACGCTTTCGACATCCCGACCCCTCGTACTTACGCTGAGGCGGTTTCGGGACCCTGGGCCTCTCAGTGGATAGCTGCCATGGAGCAGGAGATGGCATCTTGGAGATCCACCGGCACCTTCGTCGACGCAGTTCCCCCACCTGGGGTGAACGTGGTCGATGGCCGTTGGCTCTTCAAGGTGAAGCGCCCTCCTGGAGAGCCGCCTGTGTTCAAGGCGCGCTACGTGGCTAGAGGCTTCAGTCAGCGCGAGGGGGTGGACTTCTTTCAGACTTTCGCTCCTACCCCGAAGATGACTACTCTTCGGGTGCTGCTACACGTAGCGGCTCAGCGTGACTACGAGCTTCACTCCCTCGACTTCTCCACTGCCTTTCTTCAGGGCAGCCTTCACGAGCAGGTCTACCTGCGTCGCCCTCAGGGCTTTACTGGCACCTTCCCCCCTGGGACCCAGTGGCTTCTGCGGCGGCCAGTCTACGGCCTGCGCCAGGCGCCTCGTGAGTGGCACGACACTTTGCGTGCTACCCTTGCTGACCTGCAGTTCTTTCCGTCCTCTGCAGACCCCTCGCTCTTCGTTCGTGCTGGCTCGACTCCGTTCTACATCCTCGTCTACGTAGACGACCTGGTCTTTGCCACTGCTGACAGGGACGCACTGGCCTCCGTGAAGGCAGAGCTGCTGAAGAGACACACCTGCACTGACCTTGGAGAGCTGCGCCGTTACCTTGGCTTGCAGATCTCCAGGGACAGAGCCGCGCGCACCATCACCCTGACTCAGTCACACTTGGTGCGCCAGGTCCTTCAGAGGTTCGGCCTTCAGTTCTCCTCCGCACAGCCCACCCCTCTTCCTCTGGACCACAGACTCTCCGCTCCAGTTCCTGAGGAGTCGGTAGATCCCAGTGGTCCTTACGCTGAGCTAGTGGGTTGCCTCATGTACCTGATGACTTGCACTCGCCCAGATCTCGCATACCCTCTTAGCATCCTGGCTCGTTTCGTGGCCACAGGCAGACACCGACCTCAGCACTGGTCTGCCGCTAAGAGGGTTTTGCGTTATCTTGCAAGTACATCGGGCATGGGGTTAGTGCTAGGCGGACGCAGGCCAGTGGTCCTTACTGGACACACAGACGCTTCTTGGGCAGACGACGCCGAGACGCTCAGGTCTTCCCAGGGCTACTGCTTTAGCCTTGGCTCAGGTGCTGTCTCGTGGAGAGCTACCCGCTCCTCGTCTGTTGCCCAGTCCAGCTGTGAGGCTGAGATCTACGCCGGTGCCATGGCGGCACAGGAGCTCCGCTGGCTGACCTTCTTGCTCACTGACTTAGGTGAGCGGCCTAGCTCTGCCCCGGTCCTGTACGCTGACAACAGGGCCATGATCCTCCTGTGTCAGGAGCCTCGACTCGAGGGCAGAGCGAAGCACATCCAGCTGCGGTACTTCCTCCTGCGTGAGCTACAGCAGCGTCGCCAGGCTCGCGTAGTACACTTAGCCTCCGGTGCCAACACAGCTGATATCTTTACGAAGGCGCTTGCGCCTAAAGATCATCAGCGGCACTGTGTACAGCTTGGTCTGGTTCCTGTAGTCTCTCACTTACTCGGGCCTTTACTTTGTACTGCCCTATATATATCTGTGTGTACACTCAGACTGGACTTGTGTCCTCTTACAGTGGTTGGACTAGTAGTGCCGCCCTGTACTAGTTCTTGCCTTGCCTGTACTCCTTCTGACTGGTCTTTTAGACCCTTGTCTCAGAGGCTGGACTAGTAGTGCCACCCTGAGCTGCTTGTCTAGAACATTCCCCTATGCAGTCCAGGGGGTGTGTCAAACATGTTTAGTTATCATGCTTGTATAGACTGTATAGGGTCATCTTCTAGAGAGTACAACTGTTAGGTATATGTTTGTGTACTCTCTCTCTCTATTTATCAATTTCACTGTTTGATATATACCTCTTATTTAGTAATGTTGCTTTGTATTGCGGCCTTATCAATATGTTATAAGAATGTCCCAGAATAAATGCAGTGACTAGACTGAGGTATACAAGGAGGTTTTATTAGAATACTAGAAAACTAGAATGGTGGAAACAAGAGAGTACAAGGAAGATATAGGGTTGGATGTCAAACATGTGTACTTGTTATGTTTGCATAGACTGTATAGGGTCATCTCTAAAAGGGTACAATACTATATCAGAATTGAGAAAATGAATAATAGTTAGAGTGAGAGTACACACAGATATACCTAAGTGTTGTACTCTCTAAGAGGCGACCCTATACAGTCTATACAAACATGACAAATACACATGTTTGACACACCCCCTAGACTGCGTAGGGGAATGCCCTAACCAAACAGCTAAGGGCAGCACTACTAGTCCAACCTCTGAGACAAGGGTCTGAGAGACCAGTCAGAAGTACAAACAAGGCACGAACAAGAGCAGGACGGCACTACCGTAATCCCCCGTATATAACACCCGCCGAAATAGTCACTCCGCGGGTGGTTTATGCGGGGGAGAGCTTATGATAGGGTGAATTTAGGAGAGCACCCGCTTTTCGGGGGCTGCATTTTACATAACACCCTCCTCGTTTTATGCAGCAAAGAACAGTATTTCGTAGTTTTTCAAGCTCAGCTCGATTGGAAAAAAAAATCGAACAGGATGAAAAACGCAATGTCAACTACCATTAGCAGCGAAAAACGGGCAGAAACATCAACACAAGTTGCAGCGCGAAATCGAAACGTCAGCAAAGGACGAGACGGGAGGATTTCGACCGTTGAATTCGCGGATTCTGTTGTGATTTGACGGTCAGAATCCTCCCAAGCGAAATCCACCCGTCGAAGTCGCGGATTCTGTCGCGATCATGACGGTCGCAGGTGCCGCACAAACCTGGCCCTGACTACAGCACTTAGCAGGGATTGGCCAACGACGATTGGTTTGTGAGTTTCGTCGTAGCGGATGCGGTACCTCGCTAACAGTCGCTCCTCGCATTATTGAACATACATGGCCTAAAACACTCAAATTCAAATTGCATTTTACATAACACATGGGCACTATATATTTCCGGGCCACTATTAACACCCAGTCATTTTTTTAGTGAATTTTTATATACACCATAGGGTGTTATATACGGGGGATTACGGTACTAGTCCAGCCACTGAGAGAGGACACAAGTCCAATCTGAGTATACGTATAAAGGACAGTACAAAGTCAAGGTCCTAGCAAGTGAGAGGCTACAGGAACTAGACCAAGCTGTACACAGTGCCGCTGATGATCTTTAGGCGCAAGCGCCTTCGTGAAGATATCAGCCGTGTTGGCACCTGAGGCCAAGTGTACTACG